AAGAGTGGACACTTTAAATCGGACTGTTCGGTGATGATCGCTGATAGGGATCCTAACCGCGAAGGTGGACCCCTTTTTAGGACCGATATCAACACTGCACCGGGTGCTAAGAAGGCCAAGAAGGCGAAGACAACCCCGATTAATACCCTCAAATCGGTGGTGCTAGAAGGGGAAAAACGCCTAAATGAGTGTGGGAAGACTCTTCTGGAAGAGTGCATTGAGGACGAGGAGATGGACGACATTGAGGATCTGGACCCCGCCTACCATAAAGGTTTTGAGGATGGTGGCAACGTGCCGAATACCCCTGTCAGGTCCCCACTACAAATGGACGACATCGAAGAGGAGGCCGAGCTATAACATCAGATCGAAGCTGGTTTAGTGGGAGCCTAAAACCGAGTCAGGGCCACACTTTTACCTACGGAAACGGGAGCTTTTCTCATAGCTCACTAAAGGGATCAATAAAACTTACCGTTTTAAACCCTAAAAAGAGGTTGAGTGTATTAACACTAAGTGATGTCTCATTTGACCGTAAGTGTGATAGTAACTTGTTGAGAGCCTACTATTTAGCTCGACAGGGATTTAGGCACTTTCAGTCAAAATCAGGTGAATTTCTATTTTTTATAGGGAATGACCAAAAATTGCTCTTTGCAGCAGTGGCAATAGGAGAAGTCTATTACTTACCGAGTATTAAACCGACTAAAAGGCGTGTTTTTAGCACTCAGAGTGGTAACTTAGCTAACCTTTTAAAGGAGTGGCACCTAAGACTGGGTCATGTCGTTAAGAAACGTCTACTTAGGACTATCAGCAACCAGAAAATTGAGGGTCTTCCTCATATTTCGTATTCAGAGCTTAAGAAGGTCTCGTTTTTCTGTAAAACGTGCGCTCAAATGAAGGACAAAAGAATGTCATATAGAAATTTGGTGGGAATTAAGAGTAATGAACCACTACATACACTTCATAAGGATTTAACCGGACGATTAAGAGCTAACGGTTTATACGGATCTTTTGGGTACCGATACGCATTGGCTGTTGTAGATGACGCCACTGCTTATAAGTGGTACATTATCGTAAAATCCTTAAAAGAGGTACCTGGGAAAATTAAGTCTTTATTGAGGAAGCTGTCGTGTCAATTTCCTCTTTATAAGGTCAGAAGAATAAGGACTGATGGTGGAACAGAATTTATAAACACTGAAGTGTCCGAAATATGCGATAAATTGGGCTTACAGTTTGAAAGCTCTAATGTTGAATCTCCAGAAGAAAATGGCAGTGCTGAGCGAGCCCACCCGACCATGATGGGTGTGCTATTAGGGGTGCTAATATGGCTGCTAAATGGTGGCCTGAGGCCCTACTTTATATGGTGGATGTCACTAATCGACTACCAATGGCTAGACTGGGAATGAAAACCCCTTATGAGTTACTGCACCGCCATAAACCAAAGGGTTTAGGGTTAAGAATTTGGGGCTCCACTTGCTATGCGCATATACCAAAGTCAAAACGAAAGGATCCTAAACTAGGCGATCGGGCTATAGAATGTAAGTTGTTGGGATTTTCGCCTAAACATAAAGGGTACCGACTCCTGGACATTAAGGCTAATAAATACCTTATTGCCCGTGATGTAGAAATTAGCTCAGCTGGTACTGAAGCAATGATCAGTCGATCGTTCCCTATCGAGGACTGTAGCGTCAACGTTGAAGAAGAAAAGGTAATTCAAGGCCTAGGTAAAAGAACTAGACCTAATCTAGAAGTTGAAGTGCAGGATATTGACACCACTGGCCCAGATTGTGTCTCTCGACCACCGACACCCAGACAAGTGGGAGTGCAAAACGGTGCTGTTCGTAGGTCTAAAAGACGACGACTGCCAAATGGGCGGCTCAACGACTACGTGACAGAGTTAAATACTGTAGCTATTAATAAGACAGCCAGAATACCTATTCCTAGGTCAATTAAGGAGGCCAGGAAAAGCCCACATGCGAAGCAGTGGGAGTGTGCAATAAAGACAGAGTATGACGCCCATTTAAGTAATAAAACGTGGGAATTAGTACCCCTTCCTACTGGAAGACGGCCATTGGGTTGTCATTGGCTGTTTGATGTTAAATACAGAGCCGACGGCTCAGTGGACCGTTTTAAGGCACGGTTAGTTGTGCAAGGAAATACACAATTGTATGGAATTGACTATAAAGAGGTGTTTGCACCTGTAGCAAGATATGAATCGTTGCGCTTATTACTGGCATTAGCCACAACATTAGGGCTGCATCTACACCAAATGGATGTATCTACAGCGTTTTTAAACGGAGTTTTAAGTGAAAACATCTACATGAGGCAACCAATGGGGTTTCGCATAATCTAGTTTGCAAATTAAAGAAGAGCCTGTATGGACTGAAACAGGCACCTAGAATTTGGTATGAAGTTTTGAATACCTTCTTAAAAAACCTTAGATGCAAGAAAGAGCATTGCTTGTATTTAAAACGGTGGGAGATAAATGGGGTTCAGCACGTCCTTATAGTGTGTGTGTATGTGGACGACCTGACAATTGCAGGATCACATCTAAGTTCTATAAATGATCTTAAAGCTAAGCTGTCTGACAAGTTTACTATGAAAGACTTGGGTGAGTTGCACTACCTGCTTAAAATGGAGATTAAAAGAGACCTTACAAATAAGACTCTACGCCTATCTCAACAAAAGTATATTAACGACCTTTTAGATAAGTTTGAGATGAGAGACTGCAATACTGCACCTACACCACAAGCAAAAGCTGTGGTCTTAGAGAAGGAAAAGACATTGTCACCCGAACAAATAGCGGCACAGTCATTCGACTACAGAGGGTTAGTTGGGTCCTTAATGTACCTAGTTAGGGGAACTAGACCTGATATCGCTAATGCTGTCAGAGAGCTTAGTAAATATCTATCTTGCTATAATAAGACTCATTGGAGAGCGGCTCAGCGTGTACTAAAGTACTTGAAAGGAACGTCGAGGTATGGCATTGAGTACAATGGTAATAGTACTATTAAGTTAGAGCTATACACAGACGCGAGCTTCGCGAATGCATCTGAAGAAAGGAAATCAATTACAGGATATGTATCAATTCTCGCTGGTGCATGCATTACCTGGAAGAGTATTAAGCAAGATTGTATTAGTCTTAATACAGCGGAATCAGAACTAGTCGCCGCTAGGGAAGGAGTAAGAGAAGCAATGTGGTTACGATTACTACTGCAAGAATTAGGCTACGAGCAATTACTACCGACTCATTGTTGGTGTGATAATACGGCCGCAATCAGTATTATTAAGGACCCGTGCAGTCACTCTTCTACTAAGCACATTGATATTAGACATCTTTTTGCACGAGATAAATATGAAGATAAGCAAATCAGGGTTACTTATTGTAGCACCAATGACATGATAGCGGATGCCTTAACTAAACCCTTGAGTCAAAATCAGTTTGAAAAACTCCGATTTATGATGGGCGTTAAAGACCTTAAATAAGAGTTCCATAAATAAAGATTGCCATACGTAAGTAAGATTTGGCTTCAAAGATATGTTTACAAGATCAAAGTGGAATTTCAATTATTGGCAGCAAAGTCAGAAATAAAGTTAACAATAAAGGGCACATTTTGGTGTAAGGGTCTGGTAAAAGTACGGCTTTAGTCATAAAACCTTCGTTTTACACGTCACCTAGCCCTCTAAAAGTGATTCTGACATGTCCGGGCTATCAGCCCCTTGCCCCAGAGTATATCTTACTCTTTTTAAGTTTAATTCTATCCTGACTCTCTAAATACCACCAAGTAAAGCACGAATGGTCAAAGACTGGAAATTCACGGGTACCGGATAACCGAACTTTCGCTCCGCAGTGCCTCCAATGAGCCGTTGGCGATCCGTTTAGGTGCAAAAAAGCCAGGACACGAGGGCCGCTGTGGCCTATGCCGGATCACTGTCGCCTGATGGGATACGGAGACGCTTGTGAACCCCCCCCCGAAGGGTAACGTCGGGACCTGCGCTTGACAGCAGCAAAATAGAGAGTGAGCAGCTCTCGCAAAAGTCGGAAACTTCAAATACATAAGCTAAGTTACTTTTAATATGAAATAAAGTATTGCTTCTGATTTTGGGTTGCGAATTTAAGCTTGGGTATGTGCCCAACATTCAAAGTTATTCTAAATCCCAGTTCGGTAGTTTGATTTTGCTATTTTGGGCATGCTAAATCTGAGAAAGGTTGAAGTCGACTTCGAGAAGGATCTTTGGTGACAATATGAAGAAAGTTGACGGACAATAAGAAGAAAGTTTATGGCAACGCTGGCTTCTTTAGTGGGAGTGTTGCGACGCAATACCTTTGAGTTTGTATACTCGGTTTATGCAATATGATAGGTTAAAAGGCAATCAAATAGTCTATTTGATTGGATAAATGTCAATAAGGGCAATGGCTGAAGGAAGTCCACCCAACTTAAGATAAGCCGAGGGATGTGGTGGAGAGGTGGCCATGTGATGCCACCTCATATCCAAAACTGACGGCAACTACCAACTACGTGTGTAAGCAACACAGCATATCTCCGTATTCTATAGCCCGATTAAATATCTCTGCAAGAAGAAACCGTCAGTAGAGTGGTGTCAATGCCCTGGAGTTTATAAGCGATGTAAAAAACTAACCAACAACATACTATGCTACTGAGGCTAAAGACATGTTTTTTTATTACTGTACTGTACAGTACCAGTTTTTAGCACAAGCTCAAAACCGTTCATGAGCTTCAACAACCTTGGACACATAAAACGCGATTTCATCCAGCCTCTCGCAATTCGATGACCTCCCCACGCGACGTGCAGCAGCGCCTGGCTAAGCTCTCTGTCTGCGCCATCGCCGATGCCATGGCTAGGCTGAAAATGCAGGGCCACCTCCTAGATGTAAGTCTCGTGCGCGGCTTCAACTCTCCCTTGGAGGTGGATATCTGTGGACCTGCATTTACAGTGCAAGTCGTTCCTGCCACTGGCCCTGCAGTGAAGAAGTTACCGTTCCATTACGTTGACAAGGCCGAGCGAGGACAGGTGATCGTCATCAGTTCTCCCAAGGGCAGCACATCTGGTGTCTTCGGCGGACTATTGGCCACCGCCTCCAAGTCTCGCGGCATCGCTGGTGTCGTGACGGACGGACGAGTGCGCGACGTACAGGAGATTAGCTCGATGGGATTTCCTGCCTTCTCTCGTGGCACGTCGGTGCACGGACAGCAAGGTACGACGACGGCTGTGGACGTGAATTGTCCCGTGGTGGTGGGTGGGTGTGTTGTCCGCAATAACGACATAATCCGAGGCGATACCAACGGCGTGATTGTCGTTCCTGTCGAACACGCAGCTGAAGTTGCAGCCAAGGCGGAGATCATCGAAGAACAAGACAACAAGGTCGCAGATGCCGTCAAGCAAGGCGCGGGGCTGCAGCAGTCCTCTAAGCGCTTCCGGTCAAAGCTGTAGTTAGCAACATTTCCTGCATTGGGCTTCAAGACACGCCGTCAAGTAAATGTAGCCATTTTGCCTACATATCGTGTCCTAGGCTAGGACTCCTAGATCGCAGCCGATTTGTCTCATTTAGGACTTTGTAGAGAGCGGGTGGCTCGAAACCGGCTGCGATGAACCGGTATTTTAAAAAAGATCAAGCTTTTCTGAAAAGATTATAAATTTGGTCCCTCCCTTTTAATTATAGTCCGCTCACTCATAGGCCAGAATTTAGAGTCAGATTTCTTTTTAATTTATTGTTACAGGCTACACAAAGTCGATGATCCAATCTTTAAAAGACGGACATGATGAGCAACAATAAGCTCACCACAGCTCTCGTATCTGTCGAGGCGGCATGGATTTGCGCCACTGAGGTCAATGTGCAGCAGAAGGACGAGGAGCGGGTGGAAGGACTGGTGAGGCTGCGTAAGCAGAGCATGAAGAACGAATATGAGCTGGCCAGCTCCTCCACACGCCTGGACCAAGAGCTGAAGGAGCAACAGTTGCAATGGAAGAAGAAGACGGATATTCGACAGCTGTCTCAATTGCCGATAAATGAGCGGGATCCCACGGTAAAATCCGTCGAGACCAGCACCAATAATTACAAGAAAAAATGCAGCGTCTACGCGATGGAAAATCTGCGGCTGGCTATGCTGATGAAAGATACCAAGCTTCGGCAACGAATGAAACGGTGAGTACTCTTCATGCTTACATAAAAAACTGTTGTGTTGTGCTAATCATTGGTCGAGTTCAGGAAGAAGGTTCGACCGCGGATTGTTCAGGATATGTTGAGTCTGGAGCGCCGCTACGCTGAGGTGAAGGATGTTGATGTTTTGTGCGCTATGTGAGATGACTATGTTCACAGCAGCATTTTATTCTGGCGCTTTCATTGTCTATTTTGTAGGCAGCACGCAAACTGCAAAAGTGGTGGCAAGGTCACTTGCATCGAGTTTTTTTGCAGTTGCATTTTAAACAAGTCAAGGCGATACTGCAGATTCAACGCTTTGCACGCGGCTTCCTAACACGACAATGGGTTCGTATCTGGCATGCAAATCGATCCATTCGCGTCACGAGGCTTCAGGCGCTGTTTCGTGGTTATTTTATTCGCTCTCAAGTGATACTGACCTGGAGGCGTTGGGAATATCTCAACGCATCCAAGATTCAGTCTATCATCCGGATGTATCTTGCAAAAGAGTTTTGTCAACGTTGCAAACGTGAGGTTGCAGTATTGCATATTCAGTCTGTCTGGCGGGGATTCTCCTCTAGAAAAAAATCAGACATGCGCTGGCTGGAATTAAGAGCTATCAATTTGCAACGCCTGGCGCGGGGAACACTTGCGCGAATGAATGCACGAAAGAGGGCGACACGGTTAAGGAATGGAGCCATTCAAATTCAGCGGATGTTTCGTGGAATGAAGGCACGGACCGAGATCAAGACACTACTACGTGATCGGGAAACCCGCAACAGACAAGAGTTTCTTGCTATGCTGGAGGTTGAAGAAGAATGGCACCGTGCGCAACGCGATAAGCTCCAGTCAAGGCTAAATCGTCAGCAACTAAAAGAACGGTACGTTTGCGGTGACTACTGTACATGTTGTGTAAGATACTTACAATCTCAGCGGCATTCCATGAGTAGAGTTGCACAACTAGAATACGACTACTACATCAAGCACGAACAGATTCACGACGTACGTACACTTCGCATTTTGTATTTTTCAGTACCATAACCGCAGCAACATCTTTTTTCAAGATGGAAAGTATCTACCTTGACATGCAAACACAACGTATGCGCGTCTCACCACGTGCCATCGAGCATGGATGGGTGGAAGAAATGGAGGCTAAAATGAAACAACAGCGTGTGCTCATTACTAAGCTGAAGATCGAGACCGTTTTTGGGCTCGGTCTGGAGTTCAAACGAAAAGAAAATGAACTGGTTAATTTCCAAAAGCGCATCAATGCCACAGAGGAAAAGCGTCGACGGGTAGAGCGACATTTGCCAGTTTTTTTTTGCGGCAAGAAATCGCACTAACCGCTGTTGTTGCAGTTTGAAATCTGGCGGAACGAAGAATATCTCGAGTTCTGGGAGGTATGTGCAATCTAGTTTGGAGCAGTTGGAATACGACTAGCGTCTTAGCGGCTCTGTGTTCTGGATTGCAGCGCGAGTGTCGTTTTCGCTACCAAGCAAAGATCGTTCAGAATCGCCAGCATGTTGCTGAAACCCGACGCAGGTGGCAGATCCAACATTACCGAACTGATGGCAAGCGTGACCATCGTTGGCAGGGCTCACACTGGTCTCCGGATGTACTTGAAGCTGCCAAAAAAAAGGAAGTTTTCTGCCTTGGTTCAGCCGACATTCTCGCACTAGTGCACGAAAAATGGCATCTTCGGATGCAGGAAATCGAGGCAAGTGGTCAAGTTCGCGATGACACAGAACAGGAACGTGACTCAAAAAAACATATCGATGATCTCACGGATCAGGTGGCTCTCACAGCGGCCACTGCTCAAATTGAGCAGACCAAGATGCTTTTTAACCCCGTGTTTCGAGATGTCGAGCTCTCGTTTGATAAAATTCAAATGCTGCAACGAAAACACGACAGACGCCTACTTGCGACTAAGCAGGAAAGAAGAGCTAGAGAACCTGCTGATAGTGCTTCAGTAGCTGGAGTGACTCACGTTGTTAAACGGACTGAAGATACGATAGACCGGCAGCAACGGAAACGACAACTCGTGTTGGCTGCAAAGGTTCCATGGTACCTACTTGACCAGTTAGAGGCCGACCGCCGCAATCTAGCAAACGAGAAAGCAATGTTCAAACTCTGGGGCAAAGCTTACTCTAAAGAATGAAATATATTACTTATTGGTGTTCAACAAGTGTGATATCGCAGCCGGGTGAGCGTGTATCATCTAGTGCCTCGATCCCCTGCGTCCCTTAGCTTTTTCTTCTAGTAAAGCGATCCGCTCTTCTAGTTCCTGAATCAATTTGGCCTCATGATATTTAAGAGTGAGTGCAGCATTTAGAGCGTTGAGGGTGCCCTGTGGCAGCTGCCACGTCGGAGTGCGCTGAGAGTTGTCGGAGAAGAAATTTGTAGAAATCGGGGGCTCTTGAACAAGAGGCTGGCCCGACCAGCGCATGAACATCGCATCCCAAAGCGTGATTCGCTTCAACAGCCCAGTAAGAGGTGGGTTCAAGACTTGCTTTGGAACATACGTCTGTTCTGTGAGCTGCGGGCGGAAGCCGTTCACCCAAGTCCATACGGATGTGGTCCGATTTTCCAAGTTAGCTTCCTGGCGGTGCTTTTTGCAATCAAACAAAAATGTGCCGAAGCGGCACGAATGAAGAGCATCGGCAAGCATGAGTAGCAGTCCCTCGTTAAACCTGTAAAACAGTCGTGGTTACTTTTGGCATGATGCAAGAGCCTGAAATCTCAACTTACTCGAAGTAGCTTGGGTAAATTCGAACCAGCTGCGAGACACAGTCCAGGAACTGAATAAAAATCGGCGATTCCTGTGTATCCGCTTTCTCTCCATGCGAATGTCGAAGATGGAAGGGGTGACCGAACGATAGCCACTCTTTTTCAATCAGCACCTGGAATCCTTTCCAAGTTCGAAAGAATGGATCAATGAAAAGTTGAGCGAGCGACGCGATCTGACTCGTGCGGTCCCAACCGTGACTACAGTGCAACAGCACTGATTCCCCGGATCGGAGCAATTGCGCCACATGCAGCCCTGACTTTAGAAGCTGGCGAATGTAGACCAGCCACTTAGTGTCTTCAATGCTTCCGAGCCACCGCAAGTTGTCACACGACGGCGATGCACAAAGGTTACGCAGCTTTTTCATGCTAGCAATGACACCACGAATTTCATTCAAAAATAAGGTTAGTACTCACTTTAGTAGCGACATTAACCAGAGCGCACCTGTCCCTCATAGAATGAATGTTAGGAATTTCCATGAAGCTTATTGTACAATTCTTGTAATTGACAGAGCTTTCAACGCCATATCCTTTAGCGCGATTAGCCTAAACACAACACCACAAGAATTTGAGAGTTAACGCCACAAGTACCAACACACACTTAATAGCATCCAAGCGAACCAGTGCGCTTGACATCGGTCTGCAGTCAATAATCTGTAATTGATCCTGCAACAGACTTGACGACGAGATTCCGGCAACTAGGCTTTCGTCGGCCGGCGATGTAGCCTTCGACACACCAATCTTAGGCTGGCTGGATCGACAGAGAGTAGCTCCATTCGCTCCATTAAGCCACGTTAGACACGGGATGCGGCCCAGCGAGCGGAAGTTCATCGCATCTAGCAGCACCTGTCTCATTAGAGCGACAGAAGACCAGCATTGTTCAATGCTATCGTTAAAACAATAAACTATTCATAATATACAGATATCACCATGGCAGTATACCTCATCCGGTACGGTAACAGGCACAACAAGACGTTCCGGGTATGTATCTATCGCGCCGAAGTTCTCATTGCAGCTGGATACTCTCCACTTGTCATTCTCAAACACGCCTTGCCTTTCCCACTCACTTTGAGCATCATAGACGTCCCAGTCCAGAACACACGGCAGCAGTGGCTCTTCCTCCAACATGTTCTCCGAGAGTCTGTGGTAAAACGCAAACAAAAACTCAATTTTGTCCGGAAAAACGTACGTAGTCAAGACCGAGAAGATCTGTAGCACATGCACAAAAATACACTAAGATTCTGCGCCATTCGTAACAATAACACGGCAGCGTGGGTCTCTCACCTTGGTGATCTCCACGACGTCGAACCGAAACGACAACTGGCGCAGGTCCTTGGTGAAAATCTCCACAATGGAATTCTTCTTCTTGATCGACGCAATACATCCCAGTGGTATCAGGAAATAGCTTTCGATCTCGTCCTCGCTGCGGTCCAGTAGGTGACGCTTCACACGGTCGTACTCGTGTTCGTCCGGCACGAACTGAAAGCGGAATGTGGTCATGAATACTCGACCGAGACACACCGTAGCCGCCGACGTGTCCTTCCTGCTCGCATTCTCATCTAGAAACTCGCTCGTGATGGCCGCCAGGACATCTGTCTCACCTATGAGGCGGCTGCGCGCAGGCTCCTCTACCTCTCCAACCAGCATCCCCTCAATGTCGTCGGTTGCGATTTGGAAAAAGCAAAACCTGTTGATTATGGTCGGACCATTTTTGTTTTACATATTATGGCTTCACTTCAAGAACACAAAACCCCCTACAGGAAAATTGATGTGCTGTCTCCCCGACAATGCGAGTTGTGAAACTTGAACAGTAAAATGTATTCGAAATGCATGTACCGAGATAATGGTATTCGTAAGATTGGAATCTTTTCTCAGCTGGGACTGTCACAAAATACCAGTACATGCATCTGGCAAACAGCGATGACTGCACTTATCCAGTGCTTGGACAAACAATAAACCCTGACTGTATCGAATTTCTGTCAGCGATGTGCCTCTCACCTCCTCTGTTTCAGCAGTGCTGCGATCTCACGCAATGCGCTCATTTGCTCGATGTGCTGCTGGCGTCTTTCCTCGCGGTCCTGAGCCTGCGATAAACGCATCTGTTCCATAAACTCGCGCGCCGTCTGAGAGTCTATCATCCCGATGGACTGCTCTTGCATCGTCCGCTGGCGTTTCGGCGCGCCTTGTCCCGCGACTTGTTGAGAAGAGTAATAGCTGGGAGTCTGTACGTTTTGTGCCGACGGGATTGGAACCGGCCTGTTAGCGTGATGTTGCTGATGCTGCAAAGTGCCATTGCTTGTCATAGTTAAACCGGCAGGAGCAATGTCAAGAAGACGTTTGGCTCCACACTCGCACGTGAACTGCCCTGACTGGTTGTTGCCGTTCTGATTTGTGGCGCTGTCGTTATGTCCCGAACACGAAGACACGGAGCTATTGCCAAATGTTGTGAAGGTTGAGCAGTGCTGATTTTCCTGATCCACCAGCAATACAGAAGTCGGCGCAGGTTCAATTGGAGTATCGGTCGGGGACACTTGGTTCATTCTCGTCATGAGCATGTCGATCTCGTTGTACACATCTGGAGCAAGATTCGGAACTCGGATCTTGTTCGCAGCACGAACAGCTCTTCGCTGGGGTTTCGTAAGGTCGAACCATGGAATGTTGGGGTCTCCAATGGTTATCCGTTTTGTCTCGTAGTTCTTCATGAAGCGGTACATCTCTCTCATTGAATGCATCTTGTCGTCTACTGCTTTCCTCGATCGATTCGAGCCTCCCACCGCCGCCATGAATGCGTTATACACATTTAAACTCAATGTAGCTCCTTTCAAAGCAGGGTTCTCCTTGTGTACACTATTCCAAACCCTCGCCAGCTGCAGTGTCACGTCATAACTCCAGTTGCGCTTCACGTCCAGAATTTCTTGTGTAATTTCCTGTGGGTCGTCATTAAGAGTAGCACCAGTTAAAATTGCTGGCGGGGGTGCACGGCTATCTCCTGTAAGCGATGCTCCCTGAGGTGTACCAGTACTCGCAGCAGTCGCCCCATTCGTCTCCACTGCTGATCTTCTTGCAGCCACGGCACTGGGGCTCAGCACACTATCGAACACATTGTACACCTCCAGTGATATATTGGGTATACGTACGCGATGCAGCGCGCGGACCACACGTCGTTCTTCTTTGGTGAGCTCAAACCAGGATGGGGAAGGCGCCTTGTCGGGGCCTCCTTGCTTGAACTGGTCCTTGACCTGAGCGATGAAATGATACATCTGCTTCATGGAGTAGAGCTTATCATCCACTGCCTTGCGACTACGCTGCGAGCAGTCCACCGTTTGTTTAAAATTGTCGTAGACAGCCTGCATACGCTGCACGCGGCTCCAGTCAGCATGTGCCAAGAGCACGCGACGCCAGATCTTCACGAGCTCCAGCAGCACATCAGCGCTCCAGTTGCGCCCACTATCTGTCAGAGGGTCATCTACGTCCACTTCCCCATCCTGCTGCGGTGGGCTCAGCTCCGTCGTGTTCCGTGATGGTAGCAACGAGCGCGTGCCTGCAGCGGTCTCTTCCATATTGCGCAATGTTTGTCAGTGGCAAAAAGATTGTTTTCAACCAATGAAGAACACAAGAATGCGTTTTTAACCAGTCAGACGCGTACTTTAGAATGACTTGGAATTTGTAAGCAACTGTTCTTCAACGACTCATTTTATTCAGAAAAGATGGCGAATCTCTTCGCATTCGTAGGTGAGCTGGCTGATGACCGCAACGCGCTAGTCTCTCGAAGCCGCGAAGCGCTGCGCAATCTCAGCCGGAGTGACGACTGCGTGGTGCTATACCTCCCTTTTAGTCATCCGAGCTCGACTGCCAACGTGCGCTCGCCCCTTCCGGAGGCGTTGCAGGCATTGAACAAAACAGCGGTGGTGGAAATTCACAGTCCATCGGCGCGCAACGCGTTGAGTGGTAAAATGATGGCAGAGTTGGCTGATGTCGTGGCGGTTCTCGCGAAAGCGGAGGTACATGGCAAGCTGAACGCCGTGGTGTTGAGAGGATCAGGCGGCTGGTTCTGCGCAGGGGCAGACTTGAAAGTAGCCCAGCAGGAGCTGACGTCACCAGAAGCGGGCGCAGCAATGGGGGCGCTCATGATTGACACACTAACGAGGTTTCGACGTCTACCGCTGGTGAGCGTCGCGTGCATCGAAGGCGGTGCGTATGGAGGAGGCGCGGAGCTGGCTACGGCGTGCGACTTTCGGGTTTTGGAGGCGAAAGCAGTTATTCAATTCGTGCAAGTGCGCATGGGTGTGTCGCCTGCATGGGGTGGAGGCGCAAGATTGTACAAGATCGTTGGGCGGCAAGATGCATTGAGGCTGTTGTGTACAGCTGAGAAACTGTCGGCTCAACGAGCTTTGGAGCTTAAGCTTGCGGACTTGACGTTTGACACTGCGACCGATTGTGCAGATGCAGCGATCTGCAGCTTCATCACTCCGTTTGATGTGATCGCTCCAGGTATGGTATTACGAATGTCTTTATACGTGTTATCCATATCTAAATAGTACTTATCCTTGTTCAGCTGTCTCGCATGGAGCGAAACGAGTTATCAACAGTGCCGATGACGTGAGTTTGGATGCTGTGCTTTCATATGAGCACGATGTATTTAAATCGCTCTGGGGTGGCCCAGCAAACCTTAAGGCTTTGGAAGGTGCTCTCAAAACGAAGAAGAAATAAGCAGTGCCATTGTTAGCATGGCTTCCGTAAATTAAGCCATCTGCCACATCTAATGTAAGTACATACTTTTTAACTTTATCATATTGTCGTGTTTATCTAACGTCCATGGACTCCTTTGATGGGATTCTTCCGTTGGTATTTGCCAATTTTAGCGAGATGACATTTTTTCTACTGCTTGTCAAGGTCACTTGCCATTGAGAATTTAGCACGGTGTGAAACAGGTGGAATGGCTAGTGTGATCGATGACTACGAGGAAAGCTGGGAATCAGCGGAGGTTTCGGTGGGCAAGAAGAGTGTGATATTTGCTACAGATGGACAAGTCTTTCCTGTGGGAAGTGACGAATGCGCTGCTCGAGATGTTGAACCAGCATTACCACAAGATCACGAGTTTCTTGTCGAGATTAACGCTGATGTGCCTCAAATAAGGATGAAGAAAATCGATGAGGCTCTCAGAGAGGTGCGCTTGAATACGAAGGTCAACGAGACTATTGGTGCGGATATTTGCGCGGTGTCGGCGAAAGTTCCATCTGCTGACGATACTGTGTCGAGTGTGGAGAATGGGGCCGTTGCCCCTCTAGCTTGTACTGAACTCCAGTCATCAGATTTACTCTATGAAAATAATCTCGTTGAACTAACTCGGGTTCATGGCCATCACTATCAGTATCATACCCCACCACCCATTCCGAGTACAATTCCGGCATCGACAGAACCAAAGTCGGAGTCTAAAGCGGATATCGGAGCACTTCAAGCTCGCGTGGCAGCCAAGCGCATCGCTGAGTTTCGGAGAAGACAGAAGTTGAAAGCAGATTGGGAGCGGGAAATGGAATCGACACGGGCTCAAAAACGTCGCGAGATCCGCCATTCGAATGATGCCATGCACAAGACTCTTGGAGTCGCTGGTTTGTCTGCACATGACCATCTACGAATTGCGCAACGCCAACGCAAACAGGAAGAAAAGAAGAAAGACATCGCAGCAAGCCTTGAACGACAAAATCGTTGGTACAACTGCACGGCCAAGCGTCCAGCTACTGCTCCAGATCACAAACGACAACTAAACCGGCAACATGGTCGAGCTAAGCATGAGTTGGAGCGCTCAATGGAACGGAGAAGAAAAACGATACGAGCGAATCAGCTGAAGCTACGACAAGAAGCCCAAGAAATCATCGCCAAGACGAGTGGGGCTTATGTTCGCGGTTCGTTTCTGCTCAAGATGACACACCATACCACTAAAACGCAGAGATAACCTTCATCAAATGATCACAAAGCCTTTGGTGCAGAGCAACAAGTCGTTACGGAGTAGAACTTAAGAAACTGATCTTTTTTACCGTCACTTGTTCTTCTTGAGAGCTTTTTCGAGAGCCTCTATGTTAGCTGGACCTCCCCATAGCGTCTTGAATACGTCATGTTCGTATTTGAGCACATCGTCCAGACTTACATCATCGGTCTTATCGGTCACACGCTTAGCACCGTGAGATACCGCTACAATCCAGTAGGTTTTTCAAGAATTAGACCATCACAACAGTCAACTGCCAAACTATGATAATGTTACCTGACGCAAAATGCATTAAAAGGCTCTACAAACGAAGTGATGGCGGCATTGGAAGCGTCTTCACAGCTTGTGTTGAAAATCTCATCCACCAGTTTCAGCTGAAGAGCACGAAATCTTTTCCGCAGTGCACAGCAACCGGAGTCAGTGATTGGAAAAAATAGATTGATCTATCCGCCGGAAAATTATTGCAAGAAAAATGACTAACCCGAAATAAAAATACTCAATTGCACAGCGACCCGCTCTCGGTCATGGCATATTTCAAAATTAGTTGAAAGAAACTTAAAAGTACCGGTATAGCTCTGAAAAAAAAGTCTTACGAGCACCCGGTACTTTACCCAGGGGGTAACTTCTTGTTATCGAATGTCTGAAGCACTGTTTGGCGGATCAAATCGTCTCCATTTTTGCCACTGATAACCATTGGAACGACATGTGCAAGGCCCATCTCCAGGCGGATCTTCTTCTGTTGGTAGTCAAACGACCTCTTTTCTGTTAGGAAAGCCGCTGCGACTGCTTCGGCTTCGGCATCCGCCGACATTTTTGCAGCTTCGTGTTCCGCAGCTTTAACCATGCCATCGCTTTTGATCTTGGCAGCAGCGATATACTGCGCGTAGTTTTGCTTGAGATTCGCGAGATCAACTGCGGGTTGAGTCTGTGCTCGCACAGAAGCCGCCGTTACTGTAGCCACGGCGTCGATCTTGAATCCCTCAGCCTCCTTAATTTTGTTTGCATACTCTGCTTTGTGCTGTGCGATCGTCATCTGGGCCTTGGCTTCAGCAGTTGTTCGCAACTCATTGCGGATGATATTTGCGCGAGCTTTTGCAGCCAACAAATCTTGGACGGCTCGTTCGTTCTCCTTTTGCACTGCAGTGTGCTTTCGAGTCTCCTCGTTTATCAGTATGCGAAGTTGGTTTTCATGGTTCTTTTCTTGTTCCTCCATTCGTGTTTTGAAGGCAGTGGTTCCTTCCAGTGTTGAAGACAATGACGGAGGGAGGTCGACATTCGTCACCTTGACATTGTGAATGAAAACACCAAACTGGGAGAGCTTGTTGTTCGGTCCGTCTTCATCCCCATGGCGAAGTCTTCACGTAAGTCGTGGACTTGGTCGTATCGGACTGAATGGACAAGTCCACGAATGGCTTCCTCCGTAAGACTGTAGAGAAGCTCATCCAGCCGATGAGCGCCTAGGACGTAGACGAATTTAACTGCGTCGTCCTCTGTTGGTCCAATCTGGAAGCTGATGGAGATGTCGATATCGACCATAACATTGTCGGCGGTGAGGCAACCTAAGACGGGGTTTGAGTAAGCGACGGCTTGCTTGGTTACGATGTGGGAGACCCGATTCCACGCTGGCCAAAAGACTTTCAAACCAGGATTCATCATTCCAGCGTGGGCATTCCACGTTTGCTGTAACACCCAGACGCCCGATGGAATTTGCTGCATGAAAGTAAAGAATGTCGGGTACGATGGAATGAGAACGATCGGGATGCGGCCGTCGACTACCTTTGCATTGAATTGACCCATGGCGTCCATCGGTCGGCTAATGTCGAGCTGAACAAGTCGGTTGTATCGAGCAGGTTTCTCCGTTGGCATGATAGGTACTTTTTTCTTGATGATCGTTTTGGTTGTGAGGGTGTCTTTTTCGATGTTAGCGTGCGATCGTACATGCGATCAACCGAATGTGCTTGTGTGATCTCAAATTTCGCCATATCAACGACCGATTCATTCTCGATTCGCCTACAATACACGAAGATAGCTCTATCCATGGCAGAAGAGAAGGACATTGTTGTGGACGACGGTCACCAGACGCGATTGTTATACACCGAAACCAGCTCCGTCGACAAAGCCAACCGCTTGTTTGGAGCGTGTTACAATGGTAACACAGTGATCATGATCAACCCTCGACCCAGTATGTTTCGGCCTTACATCCGCGTACCAGAAGGGATGTATGCACTCGTACAGAACCAAGGTCGTGATATGGACTTTACGAAAGACGGTGTGAAAGGTCCTGTATGGCCTGCTGGGTTCCACTGGGCCGGTCCTTGGACTCAAGTTTCCCACCTCATCACGAAGCAGTTCATTGTATTTGAGACGCCTGTTAAAGGCTGTAAGACAGCTGACAACGTTACGGTTCGCATCGATATTTGCCTCATCTTCCGAATCATGGGGGACGCATCCAAGGGGGAAGATCCGAACCTTGTACGGCGCTTTGTGTACGAGCTGGGGCCCAACGGCTTGGAAGTTCAGCTGCGTGCAGCGCAGGATGAAGCTGTACGCGCTTTAGCTCGAAGTGTTCAACACACGGAAGTATACAAGCTTCGTGATGGGACAATGCAAGGAAATTTCAACACGGGTAAGCTTGCAATGCTGAACCGCAATTCAGCACCAACAGAAGTGAAAACGTTTGGTGAAGAGACAAATACCGGCGAACCTCAGCCTCAGCAAACACCGTACTTTGTGACGGAGGATATCAAGAAGAATCTCAACGCCCAGTTCAATAACTATGGCGTTCAGATCACCAGTGTAGCCATCACCAACGTGAAACTTCCAACGACGTTCGAGGAGCAGATGCAGAGTCGTACGACGCACTTGAGTACGATTAAGGAGCAGAACATGAAGCAGATGAACGCCATGCAGTTGCTATCATACAAGGAGGAGATCGACACGACAAAGTTAGCGAGAAAAATGATGTTGATGGAGGAAGAGCAAACCGGCAAAGCCAAATGTGCCGAGATTCAAAAGGAGATCGACATGGTTGATACAGATACCCGTGTCATTCAGGAGCAAATTGCTCAGGAGACGCGTGTTGAGTGCAACAAAATCGCTGCCGAAGCCTCGTTAGCAATCGAGCAGATCCACGCTGACACAAAGCGCATTTCAAGTGAGATCGCGTTCCGATCCGACACCGATATTCGCCTCGTTGAGGCTGAAGAGGAAGCATGTAAATTGCAGTTGCAGGCGGAAATCGAGGAGCTCATCAGTGGCGGTGAAGCAAAAGCAAAGGAGATCGTGGCGCGCGCTGAGGGATCAGCAGCGAAGAAACTCGAACAATACCGCGCGCACCAGCTTGACATGCAGCGCTTAGAGGTGCTCGCGTCACTTTCGCAGAATCCGAAGACCGTAGTCACCGGTAATGCGTCTAACAGTCTACTAGCTGAAATGATGGTCGCGAACCAGCTCGGTAAAGAATTGTTAAACATAGGTGAAGGAGGATTCAATGGGCTAGCGCAGGCTTCTTAACCCGGGGGGAAAAGATGAAAGGGAGCAAGATGATTTAGTGTATAGCATTCGTTTTGTTCATGTTGGTTGCATTATTTGAGAGAAGCCGCTCGCAAAGTACGGCAGCAGTACTGCGTCTGGAGAGTACGTTGTGTTCTTGAGCGAGATCAAGTGGTGTGAGATTGTTGTTGTTTCGCATCGTGACGCTAAAGCCACGCTCGAGTAGCCATTCGCATGAGGCAGGTTGACCATTTGCGGCGGCCTTGTGCAGGAGGGTGTCACCTTTTAGATCGACTGCGTCCAGATTGGCATGGCAAATTGTCAGGTGCTCTAACAAGTGAACGTGGCCCTCTCGAGCAGCCCAATGTGCCGCTGTCCAGCCCATATATCCTGGGGTATCGAGACGCACGTGGCATTGTGTCGCTCGAGTACAAGCTCGTTGAAATGCTCGAAGATCCCCACTTTTGGCGCTTTCAATCAGCCGCTCAACAAGATCCGAGTCGTTCGAGAAAGCGCTGTCGTCTTGCTGCGGTGGTATGGGACCACCAGTCAGGGAAATCTCGATTAAGTCCGTCTGAACGATGGCATCGTCCTTCTGGGTGAAATCGTACTGGTTCTGTCTTGCTAGCATACGTCGTCTGTGGTGCACGCGCTTGGAACGAGTGATAGATTCCGTGCAGTGCTCGGTTACCTTGGACTTCAACTGTTGGTTGTTGCCACTGCCGCTTCTACAGATGATCGTACGACGATGTTCCAACACCATGTCGTTGTAAGTCGATCGAGTGTAAAATTGCTCTGATGATGCATGCCACCAACAATGGATGCTTCGCTACGTCACTAATAATATCGCCATCATAAGATCCACTGTTTTGAGCCAGGAAGGAGCGAAAGCTCTTAATAGGAATGTGTACGTTGGTCTGCTCGATCTCATGACAAGGTGTCAGCGTAAAATTGCGTCTCGATCTTTGTGCCTGTTTTAGATCATCGCGTGTACACTCCATAAGTATCTTGAATAATTTTCTTGAGCTGATCATATGAAGCATTATCCTGGTCGGATGGTTGTGCGGAGCTGTCAACATCAGCTTCTCTATGCATGGCTGTTTTCCTTCGGCATGCCCACTCGACCAAAGGGTTACTTGAATTAACAATCAATCGGGTCCGAAGAATTTTGCCAACATATTTGCTGGGTACTCGTGAAGTGCAGAGGCCTAAGAGCTGTCGACACAGTGCAAATGCATCCCCATTCGTGACTTCGATACACGCTTCATGCCACGCAATCTCCACTATAAGTGGGTTCCTGTCTGCATCAAGTGAAGCAGCATTCAACGCCAAATCAGGCCACGCTTCTCCGTCACTTGCTCGTTCACAAAGGCCTGAACGTATCAAATCGCGCTCCGACTCGTTTGCAAGCAATGCAATCGCCAAAGGCAGTGGCAGCTTTGAGTAAAGCACACGTTCACGGGTTATTGATTGTTGAGGTGTGTTAGGGTCTTGAAGATTCCTTGAGCGAGTGGTTCTGGATGATCCTGCGGCTAAACGAGCCAAGGATCGGATCTGGCCATTATGTTCATGCGGGTATGCAAACAGCAACTCGCTTGGAGCCACAGAGAGCGTAAAGCCTATAGTATCTGAAGGAGAGAAAACCCCACCGTGCTTATCTTGAAGTGACACGGCCGAAATGCTGTCACGGTCTGCTGCGAAGGACTCGTTATAGCGCCGCACGATTTCTCGACACAGATAGTTAATCTTTTCTCGTGGGTTAATAGGAACGCAGAGTCGACATCCACCAATTTGAACCAGCACACGAACGACATCAGGGAGGGCAGCAAGTTTCTCCTCGCTGAGTTCGTTCAGCTTCGTATCTCCTGAATTTTCGAGTTTTTGCTTTGACGATGAATCTGCGGGCGGTTTGGCACTGGATAACGTTTCAGCTGTAGCATATGGCTGTACAACTCGAAGCTCCTGTGACTTCTTCGATAATGAGCGTTCATCTTCATGTCGCCTTGCTTCAGTCACTGTGACACTATACGCTGCAATTTCCACCAGTGGAGCAACTGATTCGACTGACGGTCTCGGCCTGAGACTCGATGACGGTGTGAGAGTGCGACTTATAGGGCTCATCAATTTGTTAATGCCGTCTCGAATGCTGTCAGATGAGCGACGTGTTCGGCTTAGTGGGCTCATAAACTTGGTAAGTCCGCCACGAATGTCTCCGATCAAGTCACTGTCCGGGCCGAGAACCATGATTGGACTTGGAATTCCCAAACTTACTTTAAGAGGAGAGCGCGTTGGCGAGTCACCGTTTCCATCATCTGGCTGGTTCACTGGCGCGTTGGCGGATGTTGAGCATTCTACATGTAGATTGCTTTCACTTTCCGACTGGGGGGCTGCTGTAGACTTTGCAGCAGTCTGAATTTGTTGTTTTACCACGCCTGGTTCATAATCATCCGCTTCAAAACGTTGTTCTTGCTGTCGAATGAGCTGCTTTCGTCGCACCATACGCTGAATACATCGACTAGCGTCTTCTCGTTCAAGTTCAGGTGGAATAAGAGGAGTAACCTCAGTTGTTGCTTTCTCAACTTGTTGGCTAGTTACTGCACATGAATTCGAACTGTCATCCTCTAAATGGTTAGTCGGGGTATTGATATTTCCCTCTGACGTAGAATTTGGTTCAGTTCCATTCGTGGAATCATTCATCGCAGCAGTTTGAACTTGGTTTTCGTTGCTGTTCAAAGGAGCGAGAGGTTCGGTATTGAAACGACTTGCAGGGGTTTTACGATGTACAAACTTCATCGTTTGTGAGTTTATAATCGTCTTGAAATCCAACGAACTCTGTGTGCAGAGGAATCCCAGCTGATTGTCGAACACCACAATAGCTTGCTTCAGCAGCGACTTCGCACGTGCCTCTGCAGTGCCTTCATTTTGCAAAGTAAACTCGATAGCTCGGATTTGCAATACACCAAGGAATAGAGTCATCATAAGAGAATTAATCTTGCTGCCTGTAGAACCACCGATATGTTCGACAACTCTTCGTGTCAGTTTGAAGAAAACGTCATCAACCTGGCAGCGAATCTTGTCCACGTTTACATGAAAACTCAATTGAGGTTGAGAGGAGGAACAAACGCGGCTACCATCCGAAAACCTCGATCGTATCTGAATCTTGTCAGCTTTTACAAAACATTCTTGTGACGTTATAGTACAATGCGTGATATCCAGAAAAACATGAGTAGGCAAGTTGTAGCCGTGAAAAGTTCCTGGGCTTGCGCTTTGATAGTCAGCGGTTTCTTTGCGTCTCAACACGCAACCGCATCCTTGCAAAGAGCACTCAAGCATCTGGAACGCTAGCGGTAATGCAGGAACAAATATACTGTCACCTGCGAACTCGTTCGATTCGGTAGTTAGACGCAAATTTGAAAATTTGGTAGTCACTTCACGCCCCATTATCTCTTCAGCCCCTCGTACACCAAATAATTTCAGTAGAATTAACACCAGCCGACTACCGGTCTGCACTTCCAACTCGTTCATTTGTAAAACAACGTGCGCTTTCGGCGGTCCATTCACTCGTGTAGTCTTCCCTACCTCTTCGTCAGTCTCCAAAGTACTATTTTCTGCATTCGCCGCTTCTGAAAACCTGTTTCTGCAGATCCCTTGACCAGCAAGTGGCGTCGCTGGCAGCGACTTGTTACTATTATGAGGTGGACAAACGTGAACGTCTATCATATCTAAGCTGATCTGCTGATGACACGTTCCGCACCGAATCACAATAGCCTGCTCCTTGTCGCTCACAAGCCGATACATTTCCGTCAACACTGTGGCCAGATCATCATCGATTCGACACAGAACGCTTTGAACCCGCCACTTAATCGAAAGTGAATCGAGACGCTCTTCCAGATGGAAAACCTCTCGGTCAGGCTTTAATCGAAACACGACATATCCTCGGAATCTCACGGCCAACTCATGCAGACTCATTTGCAGCTCACGAGCTCCATGTCTATGGAAAATGACGCTCCCAGCGGCACGATCAGCAACGAGGAACAGCTCCTGCGGTCCTTCAGTGCTTGAAGTAAATTTTAACTTGGCTTCGATCGTGCCGCGAAACGTAATCTGCAACTCAATATTCGGCTGATCATTACCGCTCGCACAAGCTCCTATAAGCTCTCGATCAGCAGCCATCCCATCAGCTGGCGTGGATACAGAACTTCTACTGTTTAAAATCCAATTGCAGAGTGTCGAAGCGATAGAATACACTTCTATGAGCTCAGCAACCCCCAACTCCACCTTCACCGCGCCAAAATTTACATCCACAAGCTGCATTTGCCTCCTCCATGAATCCGCAATGTTGCTTCGATTGTAAAACCGCGTTACTCGTATCACTACAGACACCTTTGTCAGCAGGCGAACCGTTTGTGCTCCATTTATTGCACCTTCGACACTTCCACCGTTTACCCCAGCACTAAGCAAAAATGACATCACCTGAAACCGAGTTTGCACCAAATGGTCGGGAGAATACTCCACGCAAGTCGTGGGATCCCTCACATCCTGCCACAACGCATCTGCTGTCCGTGCATTAAAATCTGTTAGAACAAGCTCCACGCGAGAGACTCCTCCGATAAAGATCTGTACTCGTAGCTTATCCACCACGAGCTTGGTTCGGTCATTCACATCCCGTGCGAACTCAAACATAGCGGCAGTGGATCCCAGCGGGTCGGGCTCCAGTAAAGCCGCTTGCACTCGCTCTTCCGCAACTCGTCGGAGCTCACCGCTACACTCGCAGATATTATGCACTTGAACCAGCAACTCGTTTATATGGATCAAAACTGGTTTGTGCGCTGCCTCCTTGTCCGCATCCGTCCAGGACGGCACGGCGATTGTGAGCTCGATACAATGCACAGTTGTCACCAACAATGGCGACGGCAAATGCAACACCGCAGCGACTCGATGTGGCTTTAAATCTGTTGGATTGAACAATGAAAAAATTAAACTTACGGAGCGTTTGAGCTGTTCGACTTGACGGTATCTTACGAATATTAGGTAGAACCAATTGCGTCTTTGTGAAGGATTTAGTCATAAAGTCGCGCGGAAGCATGCCGTCTTTGAGCTCGTCCACCCAGTAGCGCAACTGCCTGCGGACGTAGTCCTTCATGATGCTGTTGGTCGCCATGGTTGAAACGGAACTGCGCACGAAGCGGCACAACGAAGAAATGCTACAGTCTAAGTAAAATTCGGTTTTTTCGAGCTAATTTATTTAGTGGATTCCAAAAAGTGAGCCATTTGTTCGTCAGCAGCTGTGTTAGCAGTGCGAGCATGATGCGGTGTCTCATTCGTCTCTTCCGCTGGCGCTGGTGGTCGCCACAATCGATTTGGCTGCTCTACTGTGTGTCTACAGCTTCCGCGGAATCGGCGGGGTTGGCACCGAGCCAAGAGCCGCCAAAAATGCACAGCGTGTCTACTGAGCAGGTCATAATGCTGGCAGTGGACGCTCTGTTCCTCTTCATTGGCATCGTCTACGGCTCACGAGTATTAACACCCAGGCCCATGACTTATTTATCCGAGATTGCCTACCCTACGGACGTACGTGCTGTTATGTTAGTGAATCATAGGCAATAGACTGACGGGAGTATTGGCTGTCAGTTCTGCGGGAAAATGGCAGCGTCGTTCACACTGTTCTTACTGAACGGGCTGCGCTGGCTGTACCAAGAGGTTTTCTGTTCCTGGCTGTTGCTCCATCAACCGTTCGGCCAGGACCAGCAGAATGTTATAGCGATGATGGAGACACTGGTTTGGGTGAGTTGCAAGTGTATCTTTACTATAGAATGATTTTTTAACGAGATTTTGCTGCAGGGCACATCGTCGAGCATTTTATGGATGGAATATCGGCGTGGTATGACGCCGTCACTGTATTTGCGGCTGTTCTGGATCATCAAGTGGCTAGATGTCACCTTAGTTCTGGTCATGAATGGAACGTTTAGTGGAGTTTCAAATGTGGACAACGAGGGTGCGTCTTCGTATATCATCAGTATGGTGTTCGGTGGTGTATGCTATGCTGCGTCTGCCATCCTCGTACTCTTCATGTTTGTAAGACCTACCACTGTCAGCCCTGAATTTATCGCGTTCCCAATCGAGGTGACCACTCCGTCAGCTTATTTCAACTCGACACACCATCAACCACCCACCTCACTGTACGGATCCTTCAAGGACTGGGAACTCGTGGCACATGTAAGTGCTGCAAAAGAAAATGTCCTTCTAACTACTACATGTAGTACTAGATTGCTAACCACAGTACACTGGTTGTACAGCCATCTTCATCCAAGAGTCTCGAGGAAAAACCAATGCTTGACATCACGATCCCAGCCACCACGTCTTCAATTTGGGGCAACCGACAGTTCGTTTCCTTCAAGATCGTTGTGCAAACGGATGAAGATCACTGGAGTCTACGTCGACCGTATAGTGACTTCGCTGCTCTCCACGAAGAGGTAAGCAGCTCACAACGCGTCGCCAATCGTGCCAGGATTAATTTGCAGTAACGTTGTTCGTGTGTACGGCTAGCTTCCGGAAGAAGTTGGTGCGGATTGTCCATTGCCACCAGAGGAGGTCGACGACAGAAAACTGATCTCGTGGAAGGAACGCCCTCGGTCTCTGAAGTCACGCCTTGAAAAATATCTGAAGCAGGTGTTACACCACCCAAAACTAGCACCGTACGCGTCTCAAGCGCTATGCGAGTTCCTCGAGATGGTATATAGATACCTTACTTTTTCGGTGCTGTGTTGATGAGATGCGCTAACGATATTGTACGTGTTTGATCACCAGGAATACGTCGAAGATATTGCATCCGTGCGCTCGTATCACTCGAATTCAATAATATGAAAGTAAAATGTAATGAAGTTCTGGAACGAAACGAGGTGGAAGCCACAGAAGCTCAAATGATTGTCGCCCGGAGCAAATTCGTCTATGAACAGTATGTTGATCTCCATTGTAGCATCTACGACCGGCTAGATACCGTGGACGGGAAAGCTATTTCACAAGAATTCACCATTTTAGCGAACCTGAGTGAATTGAGCGTTTCGTCGCGGTGTGCTCCTAGAGGTGAGAGATTGCAGATCATAAGCGTCTTGCTGTCTCCACCAAGGGAAGAACTCAAAAAGTGTGTCAGCTTCGAGTCGCGAAACGGGACGTGAGTCGACTGCAAAAGGTAAGTAAGCAGCGGTTAGTTCGTTGATGCGCTAACTCAATAACCAAGAATGTCTGTCGGGCATACCTTTTTCGCGAGGGCGCATATTACGTTTCCCAATGCCGACAGACTCTTGTTAATTGACATCGCTTCCTTCAGGAGTTCCCTGTTACTGTCACTACCCGACTTTGACAAACGTTCGGATCCCTGGAAGCCGAAGTTTATTCAGTACTTCGAGCAGCTACGGTAATGCGATTAACAGAACTGGAACGTACCGCCAAGTCGACGAGGTTGATGACTCCTGTTCGTTGTTCTCCAGTCAGCGAATTCACGCCGTTCAGTCTAAAAAGACATAGTTTGTTAGCATCAGCGTATCAGTGTCCTTTGTGCAATGATGCGTACCTAAATGTGATGACGCAATGGCTGCGTGAAGATCGGTCGTTCATTTTGGTAAATTTTGTCGACCTCCTGGACATCGCTCCCCGTAGTAAGCTCCACGCTTCTTGATCATTCTGAACCTTGTGGGTGACTGAATTCACTACAGTAATCTTGCCCACGCTGTCCAGACGGAGATCAATTTTATCCGTGGACTAAACTCCCATGGCATATCAAATAATAGTCAGCAATCCCTCCACGTGACCATAGTGAGAGAGCTTACATCAACAGGAGCGAGCAGATCACGAAGAGTTTCGTTGTAAATCTCAACCAACTCGAGGTTGGCAGTAAAATCCCAACCACTCGTCCGTAAGTCTTCTATACCAGCAAAGATATGAGAAATCGCTCGCCCAACGATTCCCATGTCTGGTGATAGCTTCATCGACTTGGAAGTAGCGCACTCTTCCCTTCCCTGCATCGTATATGTTTTCCCAGAGCTACAAAACACGAAACCAATTTGTTAACAATCTCTCGAGATTTCGCGAAGCCACCAACAAAATACGTACCCAGTTTGTCCGTAGGCAAAGATGCACACGTTGTATCCGTCCAGTGCAGACTGGATCAAGGCAGAAACCTCCAAGAAAACATCTTGTTGCGAGCAATTGCTGTCAAACACCAGGTCGAAGTCGAAGTTGTACTTCTTGACAACGCTCCTCGACCCATTTTGGCCGTACCCAACGTGAGACTTTGGGTTAGCGCTGAGCTCAATCTGCCGTCGTTCGCTGCGATAGTCGGGAAAGGCAAAGATCTGTACACTTGTGTCAGTCAGAATGTACTTCACCAGCACAGGAACAAGAACTAACGGACCTCTTCGCCCCTTGAGCTTGCAAGTTCGTTCTGCAGAACTGGCCGGACTCGACAGAAGACGCGAATGTTTCCTTTCAGTTCCATCACCTGTCAGCATCAGTCGTTAGACACAGCTCTTGCCCGTCATTATCGCGCTACACCTACCTTATTATGGAGGCTTCGTCGAACTGCTTCGGCATCAAAGACTCTTTGCTCGAAGAAAGCTGCGCGCTCTTGGAATTGCCGTGTCGTGGCTTGCATCTCTTCTTCTCTCTGCTCAAGCTTCTCCTCCAGTTCATCCACGTGTAGTAAACAGCGTCGAAGCTTCTCTCTCGTCCCAGACAAATCACTTTCAAGCGTGCGTATCCTTGTCTTCTTCTCGCTAAGCAGGCTCAATTGCGGTCGCAGCTCATCTAAATCGGCTTCCAGTTGCGCAATGTGCGTCTGAGACTTGGTGATGGTCTGCTGTTGACTCTCCATCAACAATAAATGCTTCTTTCCCTTCTCCATAGACTGGTGAAGTGAAGTCTTCAACGTTTCGTTCTCCTTTTGCAGTCGCTCACATTCAACTACAAATCTCGCCGACTTCTGGTCATTTTTCTTTACTGAAGATAGCAATTCCTTCTTCTCCTGCACCCATTGTGCGTGTAGCGCTGTCGTCTGTTTTTCAGCTCGATCGAGTCCCTCGGATAGTGTTGACCGCGCAGTCTCGCATTTGTCGAACTGTAGTTGCAGCTCTTTCAGCTGTGTAGCCATTTTGGACTCGCGCTCAAGAGCTTCCTGCTTTTCACGAAAGGCAGATTCCAATTTCAGCTCCATGCCCCGAAACTCGTCGGTAGATCGCATCGTCTCGCTCACATTGCTGGAAGTGAGACCTTGTGACAGCTTGAGCTCGTTAATCACCTTCACCGATCGGTCTCGTTCCTCGTGGAGACTATTGATGAGTGTATCCCGCTCGTTCAGCTGCATCACAAGCCCAGTGACTTCACGACACAATGCTTGTATCTTCTTCTCCTGCTGGTAATTCGCAGGGTCGTTCATATGCTGCAGCAAAACAATAATAAATACCAGTCTGGAGCCATAATACATGTATATGACCTTATCGCACCTGATTATCGCTCATGGTGTTGATAATTTGCGTCTGAGTCCTGATGGTCGACCTCAAGTACTCGAGATCCGACTGCTTGTCTTTCCGTTCGCGCTCCAGTGTCGCCGCATGCTTCAGCAACGCCACCGCGTGCTCGTACGTGTCCGCATACCTCTGTATCATCGCGCCATCGTGAGCTACTCCCTTTTCCAATGCGGCAATATTTTCTCTCTCACCTTTTTGTAGAAATACGTCTTCTCCCGGTCTGACTTGGAGTTGAGCACTCTCTCCTCCTCCTCGGGAACACGACTCATCAAAAACTCCACGGACGCCGGTACAGGCGAGTCTGTTGTCTCCTCAGCAGTTTCTACTTGTCTGTAGCTCCCAGCCGGTCCTGTACTGGAGCTCTGGAGCGTCATAGGACGTGTGGGCTCCTTCCTCGGCTTCTTAGGGCTGTGATGCGGCGGCGAGCTCATGGTGTACAATTTGGGCTCGATCGGCTCGGCACTCAGCTCGCTGCTGCGGTCACTGCTCTCCGTCTGGTTGTCCAGCACAAAGTCGTCGAAAACTTTGACCGGCCGCTGGCTTGTTCGCGGCACAGAGCGCGGACCCGACGCGCTGGTCGCTGATGAGGAGTCAGAGGAGCGCCGCACGCCAATCGAGCGGCGCTGCCAGTCACTGATCTTCCCATCAGGTGTCGCCATGCTGGCGAAGTGGCTCAGCACACGACCGCTGCCTGCCTGATAGTCCGAGTCCATGGCTGCGTTTTTCCCGCTTTCCGAGGATTTTGACAGGGAAACGGCAAAAATGAAACTTCCACAAGGAATGACTTGACTTCATTATTGAAACATGAGGAGCTACTTGCATGTAGCCATTTAAAATGAGTATGAAATGCAGCATCGAAAAAGATAAAAAAAAAATCATCGATCTCAAAGACGAAAGAAACCCAAGCAGCTTGGTTGATATATCGATTTGTTGCGTGCAACTACACAGCTCTCGCTTCCCACCCAACCTCCTGTTCACTCAGCTCTGTCTTTCACTGATCCACATCGGTCGAGTCGGCGTTGATGTTCATGTCGAGATCTTCGCCTGTGATGCGCTTGTACAAGTCCAGCACGTCCTCCGACGTGGTCTCGAAGTGGCTCGTGGGGTCGTACGAAGAACTGATGAAGCAGTTATCCTCCTTGCCGTCCGATACGGGCTCGAACATGTCCGTGATGGCGTCGAAGCGCTCCAGGTACGGGCCCAAAAGCTTAACACCAGGCTCCAACTCCTGCAGGGGCACCGACGTCTCGGCCAGCGTACTCACAATGGCGATATAAATGCCCTGCGGTGCGACGCAGTGGGTAGACGACACCACAGCAACGTAGATGTCGTTGTTGCGGTTGGCTTGGGCGGCAGGAATAATGATCTGCAGTGACTCGGCGTCGTTCGAGTTGGGGACCGGGTGGTTCAGAATGAAGATGGAGCGCACAGCCACGCCAGTCTTGCGCACCTTCTGCTCGGGGAAGTACGACGGGTCTCCAATCACCAGCTTGGCCTTGGCCACTTCGTTGTCGCACTTAATACCCCAAGCCTGGCCGTCCTTGTCGGACAAGATCTCATCCACTCCTCGGTTGAGCATGAACGTGCCGCCGTTGATAGCACAGAGACGCGAGAAGCTCTCGGGCAAGCCGCCCAGACCGTACAGAGGGTAGATGTACGGGGACTTGCCGTAGCGCTCCAGCGAGTACGCGTACAACTTGATGGCGCGCACCGTCTCAATGGCGGGGCGCTTGTGGTACGACTCGTCGCGCATGAGGGCCATAGCGTGACCCATGAAGCTCTGCGTGTTGGCGTCCACACCGTATTTCTCGAAGAGCTCACTCATGGGCTGAGTGAACAGATCCATGCCCTCGTACGTCGTGGGATCGTTCTCCTCGTAGTTGTAGATGTACATTATGAGCTTGCGGAACTTTCGCTTCTCGAACATCCCCATAAGCGACGAGCGCAGTGCCTCCTCGCCCGTGGCAGGAACCTTGTAGGTACGTCCACCCTTGACAACGTAGCTACCGTCCACGTTCTTGAACTCGAGATAACGCGTCACCTTGGTGTGCAGCAGCATCTTGACGAGTTTACCGCAGGCCATGATGAACTTGGGCACAAGATCCACGTTGTAGTCGCGGTCGGCGCCCAGATCGGTGCGTGGCTCCTGGTCGGGCTTAAACTTCTTGTACAGGTTCGTGAGGTTGGGAGACGCGCACTCACCGCCGTAGTACGGGTTGCGATCCACCACGAGCACCTTCTTCCCATTCACAGCCAGCAATCCACTGAGGATGCATTCCTTCAGGCCCGTTCCCAGTACGATCACATCGTACTCGCCATCAGCTAGCGCTTCCGTTCCCTGGGGAAGCCATGAAAAGTCCAGCTTGCTCTCCTCCGCCATCGTTAGTGTAGGTGTCTTGTTCGCCGTGTTTGGAGCTTGATCCAATGAGGGGGCTGATCCTTGGAAAAAACGGAATCGTACTATTTTTCTTAAATTAGAACGCTTTTAAGTGCTATACCCTGCTATAACCATTTTTTGTTTTCTCCCATAATTTATCAATTTACCTTCAATAACGTATAAAACGAGGTAAAACGTGAGGTAAGGTGAGGAGCAGTTTGTTGTTGGCTATGATACAGCTCATGATTTCAGAAATCAGTTTTGGCCAATGATCTAGTAGGAACTGCGATAATCTCCTCGACGACATGTACTGCGGCGACGATGTGGAAGCTGTTGTTGGGGATGTCGGCACGGGGCTGAGCAAGTTCGGATTGGCAGGAGAGGATACGCCGCAGCTGGTGCTTCCCAGCATAGTAGGTCGCCGGCCGCCACCTCCTAAGGATGCCAAGGACGCGCCTGCAACGTCCGCTGTGCTCGGAGACATGTGGCACCGACACGATCTAGAGGTTGTGCGGCCTATTGAGGCGTGTGCAGTGGCCAACTGGGACGCATTAGAGAAGGTCTGGAGCCATGCATTCGATCGCCTCCACGTGGACGCCAAGATCCATCCAGTCATCACATCAGCAGCTTCTTGCTTTGCCAACGACGCACTGCACAACGCGGCGTCTCGGGACGGTGAGAAGTACTTGGAGATGATGTTTGAAACCTTCCAGGTGCCAGCCTTCTACATGGCTAAGGACGCGGTGCTGGACGCGTTTGCTTTCGGGCGATCCCTCGCTTTAGTGGCTGAAATTGGCGCTGGAGCGTCTCGTGTCGTGCCTGTATACGATGGATACGCGCTGGAGCGACCGGCACAGTACTCGCCAGTGGGATGTAATCAGTTGTCTGAGTATTTGGAGCACTTAATGTCCACGCAAAAGCCAAAATCAGTCACAGTGAGGCCACGGGGGACTTTTACAAGGAAACTGAACCCACAGACAGGAGCATTGGAGACCATTCCGTTGTCTGAGGAGCTTACGACGCCGCCGGCGATGCCATCCAGCTATCTCAAGTTTGCAAGAGCAGATTTGTTTAGGGACATGCGAGAGACTACATGTATTACGTCGGAAACAGCACTCGAGGGGCAGCTCAGAGACTCGCCTGGACAAGCGTCGTCGCCGGAACCGGAGCCGTTGGAGATTACAGAGCAGCAGTATGAACTGCCAGATGGACAGACCATTGTGTTGGGCAAAGAGCGGTATGAAGTTCCTGAGTTTTTGCTCCATCCTAAGAACTTTGGTGGTGCTGTGGTCAAGAACGAGCAGCACGCTGCAGCAGCGGCCAAGGTAGTAGCAAAGGGTCTGCATACGATGTTGTACGATGCGGTGCAGCTGTGCGATGCTGACCTACGACGAGATTTGCTGACCAATATCATCCTGTGTGGAGGAGGTAGTCTCACGCCAGGCATCACCGAGCGTTTGCACGCGGAACTCACACGTATGGTGCCCAGTACATTCAAGGTGCGCTTCACGACTGTTACGAAGATCGAGCGACAATTCAGCGTCTTCATCGGCGGTTCTATCTTGGCATCATTAGGCTCGTTCCAGCAGTTGTGGGTATCCAAGCGTGAGTATGACGAAGTTGGAGCCCACGCTCTGTGCGCAGACCGCTTTTGCTAGTATCTCCAGCGTTGTTATACTGTAGCTCTGCGCGCTGTTTGTTGAGGTCAATTCAGCGGTTTGCTTTCGACTTCACTGTTTCGTCTCGATGTCGTAGGATTGAGTTTGGCTATTCTGGTGTTGTGTGGTGGGTGGCGCTACACTCCAGCGACAAAGATACCAGACTCTTTCAGCGGACCGATCAGCTAGGAGTCCGGCACGCTATTTCCAGGCCTGCTGTTAGAGCTCTTGATCGCAGTTCTATTTCGACAAGACTGCTAGGGGCGTTGATTCAACAGCTCACTCCTCAACTTGCCACTTCCTGTTCCCCTCCCAGCCTCCTCGTTCACTTGAATACTATGGCTCGATCAGGCTATCAGGTGACCCAGAACGTCGACAACTTCCTGCGGGACAAGCCCAGCACTCGCCTGCACGCACCACCAGGAGGAGGTTCTTCAGTGGGGTCTTTGATCTTTGGCGGCGGTGATGGCTCAAGTCCATTCGCTGGTCACGAACGACAGTCAGTCCGTCGAAAGGTGGAAAGCCCTGAACTGACCAACCCGTACACGAAGGACAATCGCCGCGGAGGCTACAACGATGCCCCCAGCAACTTTAACCAACCTTCATCTCAGCAAGCTCAGCCCGCAGCACGTGCAGGAGCTTCCTCGAACCAATACGCTTGCGGCTCCAACCAAAACTCAGGCAATGTGCTGACTGATCGTCGCATCACACGTATCCACGCCCCTCCTGGTGGCGTGTCATCGATTCGCTTTGGTTAGGATGTAACTTGTAGCTTAGCTTATTCAATCGTAGTACCCTGCTATCAATGAAATCACCACATATTAGCCACACACTCGCAATGTATCGAAATGGTCGTCAAAAAGCCTCGCGGAAGTTTCTAAGACATGGATGATGCTATTGTGAAGTAAAAGATATCAGCGCACTCTTAAGACTCGTCCTCGCTCTCCGCCTCCTCTTCTTCGTCGTCGCCCTCTTCCTGTTCACCGTCTATGCTGGGCAAAGCAATGATCGCAATGCCGTTCTTGACCTTCAGCTTCTCCCATCGTCCCAAGCGGTGTTCCTGACCCACACCGGCAAGCAAAAAACGAGCCTTCGCGTCAAAGCACAGCGCGTTCACAAAGCCCTCCAATGGCATCGAAGCCACTGGAGTCAGACTGCGTCCCTGTAGATCAGCTTGCCACAACCGAATCTGACCATCACTAGATCCGGACGCAACGAGGTCCGTTCGCGGCATGACCGCCACACTGCTAATCCATTTGCCGTCGTGAGCGTTCGGGATAACACAGACAGGCTTCTTACGGCCGTTGAACCAAAGCGAGAGAGAGCCGTCGTCTCCACCCGTGACGTAGTACTCGTCCGTGACCATCTTGACGCAGTCCATGGAGCCCGAGTTGCCGTAGAACACCAGTTGTGTTTCTTCCGGGATCTTCCACATACGCACACTACGGTCACGACCACAGCTCACCACGCGTTCCTTGTACAGACTGTCGAGTCCGTTCACCTCGCTCTGATGACCGAACAGCGTCTCGACGTATCCCATCTCTGTGAGGTTCCAGTGCTTAATGGAGCGGTCGAGAGATCCTGAGAATAGCGAGTGCGAGCGCAGACGGAAGGCCAGAGCAGACACAGCGTCACGGTGTCCCGCGAAACTCTCCTGCAGTTCGCCCTTCTCCACGTCCCACACACGTACGAGCTTGTCACGGCCACCGCTGGCTAGGAACTTGCCGTCCGAGCTAGCGGCCAGCGCCAAAACGCAGCGACCTTTGTCCGTCGTGGCCTTCTCGGCAGCTACATCGTCCTTGGGCAACGTTAGCTTAGTCTTCTTCTGCTGAGCGAGGTCCCATCGCAGTAGCGACCCGTCCTTGGCGGCCGAGAAAGCTGTCTTGCCGTCCTCCAGCAGACAGAGGCTGGTCACAGGCAGGCGGTGGCCCTTCAGGAACTTCGTAGAGTCTGCATCAAACTCAAACTCCGAGTAATCTGCCGCCACCTTCTTAAAAAGCTTTCCCATCGCTTCCAGCGCGTCCTGTTGCAGTCGCGCACCCACGCGCTCCTCCACGCCATCACCCTCATCGTCTTCATCGTCGGTGCCAGCCTCCTGCGCCGTGATTTTTCCCAAGTACTCCTTAGCCAGTCGCAAACGCTTCTCCTGCGCTGTTTCCTTCTGCTCCTCCTCGCTCTCGTCCTCACTGGCATCGCTGGCCTGTGCACTGGCCTCGCTGTCCGACGCGATCACGTCGTTCGAGTCGCCCTTTCCCCAGTCGAAGGCGTCGTCGCCCAAAGCGCGCTTCTTGCGCTGCGGTTGGGTCGTTGTTCCGCGCTTAATTGCAACACGTCGCTTCATATTGACAGGTCGATGTACGCACAGGGACGCTGGACTGCAACCTCGAAGCTCTTGGCAACTGGTGTCCGCTCTATTGGTTGGTGATCGATGCCAACCACATAAACGATACATAAACTGTATACGTAGCGCCGGAAACCGAGAATGGTTGAAAACCATGTATACGTTGTTGAATTGGACGACTCGAACATGGACTCAAGTCGCGATGGTGCGCGTGAGGTTCGCGTGGCTGGAGAGGTGAATCGCATGATTCAAAGCGAGGTGGGGATGCTGTACTCTCGTCTGGAGGCGCTGCGCTCGCATATGCGTTTCCCTTCCTTCGCGCCTGTGAACGTGCCCATGGTGCTGGTTCTTGGCAATCATTCCTCTGGCAAGAGTACTTTCATCAACCACATGCTGGGACAGAGCGTGCAGAAGACTGGCCGCGCGCCTACGGACTGTACCTTCACGGTGCTAGCAGGTGGTGCTAGAGATGAGCGACTTGACGGCGCGGCGCTCGTACGGCACGCGCAGTTCGGCTTCGGAGACGTGCAGCGGCTCTTCGGCCGCGAGTTCGTGTCCCAGGTGGAGCTCAAGGTAGTAGCTGGTAGCCCGCTACTCGACGAGGGTGGTCTGATGATCGTAGACTCGCCTGGTATGATCGATCCGCCCGGCACGTCGCTGGACCGCACGGATGAAGACCGCGGGTACGATTTTAAGCGTGTCGTGCAGTGGTTCGCGGACCGCGCGGACGTAATTCTCGTCATGTTCGACCCGGACAAACCCGGCACGACGTTCGAAACACTGGACGTGCTCACAAATTCGCTGCAGGGCATGAGCAGCAAGGTTTTACTGATTCTCAACAAGGTGGACGACTTCCAGACGGTGCACGACTTCGCACGCGCGTACGGAGCGCTGTGCTGGAACTTGAGCAAAGTCATCGGACGCAAAGACTTGCCGTTTATTTACACCATGTACGTCCCGCAGGAGAAGCAGGAGTCCCATCCAGCTCAGGGCAATGGACAGTCACACTTTAACGTGCCCAAGATGCTGGAACATGAGTTCGATGGGATCCGCGGAGAAGTGATTCGTGAAGTAAAGCGGGCGCCTGATCGTGCGACGGACAATATATTAAATCTGCTCAAGGCCACAGCGTTGAGACTCAAGATGCACATGACGCTGGTTGAAGCTTGTAAGCAGGAGTATCTTGACCTACGCACGTTCTGGAAGCGAGCGCAAATTGCCGGTATTGTCGCGGGCGTGGGCTTTACGGCGTTCTATTTGATCCGCACGGTGGGTTCAAGAGCCCCCTTGGAACCGTTGACAGCTGAGGAGCTGACGCTTTCATCATCCTCATCGTCTTCACCTGCATCGTCGAGTACATCCTCCGTTAAGACAGCTGGCTCCAGCAATACGTGGGAGACGAACTGGTCCAAGCAAGTGGCGCGCTCGCACTCACTTTTCAAGGTCAGTACGTTCTTCAAGATTGTTCTCTCGTCGTGTGCTTCGAACCTCGCGTTGTGGAAGGCGTCAGTGCTCAACCTCGAGTTTAAGCGTGAAAGTGTGCTGCAGTGGTTGCCTGTCACGTTCCAACGGGTGTACGGCCCATTCCTGTGTAAATCTGACCGTGCACACGATGAAATCATGACACAGTGGAATGCTGTACAGCCAGGTCTGGAGCTCGCGCTGTCATCCACACCGCTCGAAGAGTTCACCGCTGTTGATGCTTCGCACAAGACGTTTTTGGATGATGTGCTGAGTCTGCATGTCCCGCGACTGGATCGCTGTGTTCGCGATCGCACGGGAGACGACCATGCTTACCTGCGATTCAAGCACCACACTAAGACCGCGTCAGACAAGACTGCAATAACTGCAACGGAGTCAAAGTGATAGCACGAAGCTATCTACAGGTTTTCTAGATGAAATAGGCAAATAGGGAGAGATCTTCACTGTCCAATGTGACAGGTAAGTGTTGTTTGAGTGGTGCATTTACGCCACAATGCTCAGGTCTACTTCTTACCGCTCTACCTTGTTATCATTTGCGCTCAACAGCTTGTCAATCTTCTCGAACTCTTTCTTGAACCGCGCCTTGACGTTTCGCAGCTCGGCGGTTGTACTAACGCCTGCCTCGCCCCCTGCCGGAGTTCCATTAGTAGCAGGTCCACCATCCTCTTCTCCGGACCCAACGATCTTGCGCAAATTGGGCGAAAGCTTCAGTGAATTCACACCGCCGCGGTCGTCTCCAACAAGCACAATGGGGTCCTGCGAGTTGAAGGCCAAGTGTGTGAGCTTGGCTCGCTTTACAACCTTCTGCTCACACAGAGGCTCGTTCTTGTTCTCCGCCAAGTCGAACACGTGTACTTTTCCGTCGCTTGTAACTGCAGCGAACACGGTAGACGAGTACGGAGCCCACGCCACGTCGCCAACAGCATTTCCCAGGTCAAAAGACATGATAGGCTCCGGTAGATTATGATCCCATAGCTTCACGGTCCAATCGGCGCTACAAGACAGGAATGCTCGCTCGTGGAAGGGATTCCAGCGCACAGCATACACTGCCATGTGGTGCCCTGCATACGTCTCGAGATACTGTCCAGAGTACGCTTTCGAGCACTTGTGAAGCTTGCCTTCCTCCGTACCGACAATGAAAAGGTGCTCACTGAAGCGGTTAAAGTCAAAACAACATCCACCTGCAAGACCAGATAAGGACGCTTCTTCAGGATCGTCCTTGGCCGCTGCGACTAGCTTGAGCTGCATTACAGGCTCCATCTTGAGTTCATTCTTGCTCAATATCCAATTGGCTACTCGACCGTCCGATGAGATCGAGTAGAAGTTCAGCTCCTTCGCGAGATCTTCCTCTTGCCAATTCACTTGCCAAACCGGGTCCGTGTGTTTACCCGTCTTAATGGTAGCCACGTAAATGGGACGGTTCGTTTTGCTGCGCACATCGTACACAAGCACCGTGCCATCATAACACCCCACAGCTAGCAATGCAGCATGTTGAGGGTGGAAGTCTAGACACATGACACCCGATTCCGTTGTGAATGTAAACTCAGGATGGGATGCGTTCTTGAGCGAGTAGCAGCACACTACGCCACTGCCTTGTTTGAGGAAATCGTACGATCCAAAGCCAATAGCGAACAGATCGCCGAAGCGAGGGTTCCAGCAAACTGCAGTCACTTGTTTCTTCTTAGCTCGATCACTAGAGAAACGCCACAACGGCAGCAGGGAGCCTTCTCCTTCGCGGAACTGGTCGCTTGCGTCCTCCCAATACTTGAAGTCGTGGAAAATCTCGTCGTCAGCGTTCTGGTTCACCATGCGCTCGATGATGCGGAGGGTCTTACCCATCGCTGCTGAGTGCACCATGTCATCGCCTTTTCCTTTACCTCCACCACTTGCGCCACCACCTCCCGCTGCTGCTGTCGGTGCTGCTGCCAATAGCTCCGCACCTCCTGCTGCTGCACCTGCGCCGTCCTTCTCGTCCTTGTCTTTCTTTTGTGCTACCTTTTGAAGCTGGAGCTGCTCACGCTGATGCTGCTCGTAGGCGTCCATGAACGTGTCGTAGATCTCCCATTGTGTTACCGTGGCCATAAAGCTCACTACCGGCGGGGGTTCCGTCTCCACCGCACGTTTTCGCAATGGATTCGTGTATGTCTGCGCCGCACGCTCGCTGTAATTGAACTGATTCTTTCCTGACTCGAATTGCAACGCTGCTTCGTCAATCTTCTCTCCTTTAGCCTCTGCTTCCTCTTTCGCCAGTCTGATACTTAGCTCCCGCGCTTCTTTCTCTTCCTCTGCGCACTTTTGATCGAAAGCAGCTTGCGTCTTGGCATCTTCCGACTCCTTGTGTATCATACTTCCATCGCAGCATAAGTGAACGTACAGATGGTCCCCTGGGCCAGGCGGGTCCACTTTGTATGTCCGCTCCTTGTAGTTGTACTTAGTAATATTGTTAGGCACGTTCGGGTCGTTCGCCGTCAGCACGCGTGAGAATTCCTCGTTCAGCTCCTGTGATGACAACTTCAGTTGGTTATCAGGGATGACGACTCTCTTCACCTGATAGTCACAACAATCATCAGCTTAGATACTCGGCAACGACATCCCAGCTATGGCAGGAACTCACTGGTTCGTGATATGCATCCATCTCGTCGTTTTCCTGTCCGGCACCTGAAAGAGACCCGTCCGCTGCTCCACTCCCAGCACCTCCTGCACCTGCACCGCCTCCTGCGCCGCTACCTCGTGAATCCTTGTCATGACCATCTCCATTCGGTACCGCAGCGCTCTTCGAATGATCCTTGGGTTTCTTCTTCACAGACGCTCCTGGCAATGGCTTCTTTGGTCCCATATCTCTTGAATGCCTGGCCAGTGTCCGTTCACTTTCCAAGGATCGCGACTCTTGCTAGGAGACTCTTTAAACCGAACATGTATTGATAGCGTTCGAGTGCGGATTTGTGCAAACGTTGACGAAAATTAGAGACGCGTCCCCAATGAAGGCACTTTGAGACGCTGGATGGACCCATCCGTGCCGCTCGTATAAAATGCGTCTTTCGTGGCGACAGCATCGGTCACTCCCCACGAAGAATTTGTCTATCAGCAAACACAGGAACAGTATTTCAGCACGATAAATTCGACGACGAATGAAGGCTACTACGAACGTACCACGTTAATTGCCACATTGGACGCCGCATCGCTAAGGAAGTTCGTGGCCGCGTCGCCCAGGAACGAAGGCTTGAGGTGTACCTTGCTTAAAAAAGCGACCTCCCGGAATATCGGCAAGGACCAGATCTTGACGTCACCACTGGCTGACCCGGACAGCACACAGTCTCCGCTTGGATGCATTACGATCGTCTTAATCGGAGTCTCATGTGCGTTTGAGATCGTGTGCAAAACTCGACGCTGTCTCATGTCGAAAATGCTCAACGCGCCCCCTGCACCTCCCGTAATGAGCAATTGGTGCGTCGACGAAAACGCGACTGAGGTGGCGCCTGCTGGGTGACAGGCTGGGGTCGATACAAGAGCCTTGGAAGTCGGCAGCAGAGTATCCCACACGCACACATTTCTCTTCCTGTATACACAAGATACGCCACGATTAGCTCTGAAGGTATCTTGAACATAGTGGTCACTTGACAGCGTACTCGGATGAAGTTCCAACGGTGGCGAGGGTGCTGCTTGAGTTGAGGAATACCAGTCCCTTGGCGCCCTTATCATGACACTAAACGTACCAAAACGCGTTTGTAAAAATCATCATTGGTACCAACGATAACAGTCTACTTACCACGATCTCGCGGTAATATGGAGCTCGATCTAGCTCAGAAAACTTCCACATGAACAAATGCCCCATGGCATCCACTGCGCCAAGCTGCAGTTATAAATGCACAGAAGAAGTTATAGTTGAACCTCAAACTGTCGTTGAAAGGCAATGCGAACCTGCTGGCCGAGATTGTCGAATTCTAGCGCCTTCACACTTCGCCAACCGGATAACATCGACGGACTGGATGGAAACGGCTGTACAGGAGTATATTAGACACTTTCGAGAGATACTATGAGCAAAATTACCACGTACCGTCACAATATCCTTGGTTTGAAACGCGCAAATTGCGCTGAGACGGTCGTAGGACCACAAATGCACACGGCCTTTGTGATTCCCCGACACAAACAGTGGCAAGAACGGATGAGAAGCTACTGCAGTAGGCTTAAAACTCGCCATCTTGGGGTCCAACGGGGAGGATAGTAGATGCGCTGGGTTTCGTAGAGGTGATGGAGGTCCAATGTTACGAGTGGCCAGACTATTCGACGGAGAAAAGTTGCCACTGTTCAAAGCATCCGAAGCTTGTCTTCTCTTCACAGGAGACGACAGCGACACGTCAGTAGAGAAAAATGACGTTTGTGGTGACGCGTACATGCCCTTGAACTGGAATCGACTGCCGTCGGCGTAGTCCATACAGCTAGCACGGAAGATGCCTTTACTGCTGCACACACTCACTTCCGCGTCTTCACCAGCGGCACGGTTAAAGCACATCGCTTTGATGTTGGTCTCGCTGCGATACACGCACTGCACGTGCACAGCCGCTGCCGTGGGCATGGACGCCATTCGTCGCTTAAGCTGGTCTGTCAGGTTAGTGGCGCGCGAAAACGTCGACGCACTTTCAGCGACAGTCGATAGAAGCAGCTTCTGCGAGCGGGTTAAGGCGGATTTCCGTGAAGCAGGCTCTGGCAGTCGTCCCCACCGAACTGCCTCGTCAATTTTCTCACTACAACACTCTAGTTGTGCATTCAAGCGAAGCAGAAGCTCGTTCTTGTCGGTGAAAAGCTCCACGAGGAGAAGCCATGGACAACTCTCGCATTCACATTTCAGCAATTGTCTTCTGTTCACTCGTTGTGGCGATGGAGGAGATCCCGGACCGTCGACGAGGAATGCGCGAGGGCTACTCGCAGCACCACTACGACTTGGAGAGGCTGGCCCTCGAGGCGAACTTTGGGAAGCTGGGCTTGACGTCCCGTGCGAAAACGAGAACGGACTGAAGAAAAAGCTAGCCAAGTCGCACAGCAGATGCTTCAAGGCAAATGCAGCGAGTCGGTTGCTATAGCTTTTCCAAGCTTCAACTAGTTTCTTGGACAGCTCTGCGGTGGCGATGACGTCTTGCCCCGCAATTCTAGAGATGTGAGCTGGCATGGCGTCGGCGGCCATCATGAGAACCAAGCCCCAGTACGAACAATACGAGAAGAGTGGGGGCTCAAAATCGCGTGTTGGTATCGGGTGATGGAGTCTGTTCGTCTTCACTGCAGCCGTAAACTCATCCAGCTCCGTCTGTAGCATACACACGGCCTGGTACAGCACTGGAATGTCTTGCTGGAGCGATGACGCTCCTAGAGTGGAAGTGGGGGTCGTGCTTGGGCGGCGAAGAGAAGTGCAAGTTACACATAAATTCCCGCCGGCAATATCATTCAGCATCCCCTCAGAGCTGGAAGACAATCCGTCCTTGTGTGGGAAGATGAGACGAAGCACACGGTACAGACAACACGCGTTCTTCAGATAGCGACAGCAGATGCAGATGACGCTGTGGACCGCTGCAACTGCTACGCGTACAAATTCGCGGTTCGGTAGCGTCGCTCTTTGCTTCGCTGGCTTCAGATAATAATACTGCAGCCAAAGCAGCAGACGCGTCGCCATAGCTAACAAGTTTGAGCACGTTTGATCCACTTTCCGGGTGTGTAAAGAGTCCGCGGCAGCAGAGATGAGATCTCCCGACGCTACCGTAGCGACTCCCTCCGTGATGACTTCAATAAAACGAGGCAGCGGACTAGTAAAGGCAAATTTTGGTGATGAACCCTCAGAACGACTCCACCCAGAGACCAAGAAATCCAATGCAGCAAGACGACCAGAGTGAACCAGCGAGTCCACTACAGCGGTCTGAACCCTGTGTTCCAAGCTCTCTTTGCTCGTTTCTGGTACCCCTGGTAAAGCATAATCACCTCCATGGCGTACAATGCATTGAATCTCTTCGTTCAGTCGCTCTTCGAGATCAAATCGTGTACTGGGCGCTAAGCTGGCAGGAGTTGTCATTGCTTCGCGCATTGACTTCAAGAACGTGGCATACAGGAAGTCCACTTGATTTCCGATGGCTGCCACCAAGATGCGCTGACGACAAGCTAAAAATGCCGTTGCAGCGGAGCTTGTAGCGCGTTCTCGACGGAAATCTTGCACGAAGGAAGCGACGTCACGCTGGTGAATGAGCGCTGGAATTCCAAGACCCGCATCTTGCATACGAAGCACGGCGGAAGTGTTCAGCCTTATAATTTTCTCCTTCAACGCGAGCTTCATCGGCACAATAGTCTTTCGAAGAAAGCGCAGTAGATCGCAGGCGCCAAGAAGACTTTTCCCGAATGCTGACCAGTACGTACTGGATGAATCGACAACCGCGTTCTTCGAGGTATCAAACATGCTTCGCATCTCAAACATCGGTGGTGTCATCAAGATATCGATGGCGGTGCTGGTCTCCCCCAGGGAATACTTCACTAGGAAGCACATGTACACATCTCCACATTCAGAAGCCTTTGTCCAGACGGTGGTGCTAAGGAAGTCGATACACACATTCTTAGATTCTGACGATTCGCTGTCCACCGTTCCCGAATTCGTTCCCAACTGGTCAGCCAGTCCCCGAAGGCTCGTACTAAGACCCATAAAAGATGCTTGTGAGAAATCTGCCGCACCAGAGCTGCTCGATGAGTTATCCTGGCCTCCGAGGTCCCATCTTTCCGCAATCCGAGCGATTAAAAACGACAAAACAAGGGTCTCATCAGCCTGCTCAGCCACCGAGACTGCTTCCGTAACTTTGCCGCCAAGTAAAAAGAACGCCGCCGACAGCTCGTAGCGCTGCTTCGTCTTCAACACATAGGCGTTTTTGATGGCAGCATTCTTCCAGCGCAAGTCTGCAAAGTTGTTCCTCAGAAGCTCAGAAATTCGAGACTCGCTAGCCATTTTAAACAGACTCGCTAACAGAGTGGTTTTGCCTAAGAGTACATAGAAGACAGCAACCGCAAACGGGTCTCGGTTAGCTGCATACTCAGCCTGTGCCACCTTCTCTGTGAATTGCACAAGCTTAGCTGAGCTTTTTAGCCAGAAAGGCAATCGCAAATGCTTCATCTCCTTCCAGCTCATTGTTCCAGTCGGGAAGCATTCCTGAAGTAGCTCTGGCTGGAAGTCACTGAGCGCTCCCCAAGCGACTTGTGCCGAGCATAGTCCAGCCCTGGCCTGGCGCCGTTGCGTAGGAGCAGTTGCTCCAGTGCGAGGTTGATCAGGTACATCTGAGTCTGGCGCGAGAAGTTGGGGCTTTGTGTCGCTAGCTGGTTGATCCACTGGCCATAACAAAGACGCATGAAAACGAAGAGCAGCTTCGTCTTTCTGACGACTGCTGTCACGCTCCCAGCTTATGGTCTTCTTGATACCAGCAACGATCGTGAGAAAACCCTCCGATTCCTGAGGCGTCATAAACGTCAAAGAACCTTTGTGTTCACTAAAGAACTTGGAGAAATCGTCCGTTTCCAGCTTCGACGTCGATGTTTCGGTGGTTTGACCGGCGGATGAATCGGCCAAAGCTGAAGTTTGAGGAGCAAACAGCATGTCTGCACGATCCGCACCACCTGCAGTAGCTCCATATCGACGAGACGCCCCAAAGTCCATCGCAAATAGATCGCTAGCTCTTGCTGGAGCCGACGAGACTGCCCCACAGTTGGCACTTCCACTCGCCTTGTATCCCTTTCCTCTCAGGTAGACATCCGATCGCTCGTCAGTCGTGCTTCCAGTGGACGTAGGGTCTCCAAGCAACTTTGACAATGAGAGCAAAGGCAGACTTCGCAGCACCGAGTCGTCCGACATTCGTAGATAGCATGTTTCTTCGTGCTCCACAATTTTTACCTTCACATACTCAAGAATTCTCTCAAGTGTCTCAAATGACCCACGAGCAAGCAGGTACATCAGCGTGATTGGATGGTACGCCGGAAATGCTTTTGAAGGTGGCTGAGAGCTGAAGGGCTGTCCACGAGGGTTCACTGACGATGCAAATGGGAGGTACAGTGATGACGATCCAGCTCCATCAATATCTCGTAGGTTGAGATGAGCTACACTGGATCCGACACGGAGGAGTCCGTAGGGATAACTTGACAGTGACGAGATGTTTTCGGGTCGCACACTTAAGCGACTGGACGACCAGGCGATACTCCACTTGTTTCTTGGCAGTGTGCAATCGAACTTCAGCATGCCAATGGTTGTAGACGATAAGAAAAGAAGCTCGCAGTCCCGCTCTGGCGTTACCGGTGGAGTCCACTCCAGCGACATTACTTGGCCAAATTGCTTGCGTGGGACCTCTACAAGTCCTTCCGAGGAGCTCTCCAGAGCAGGCAAGAAGCAAATCTTATCGTCAGCTTCACTTTTACCTCCTTCAAACAAAATAGCCACTCGTCCGCACCAGCTGAAGCTGAAATGCTTGAATACGAACTGTTCTTCAGTGAGATGAAACTCCATGTGCGACCTTTGTGCCTGGCTGGCCATTCTCATTAATGCGCCAGTGTCGACTCGGTGAGCAGCTTTCACTTCAAGTAAGTTGTCGAGGTCGGTAAATGTCCATAAGGTCAGCTGCGAGTCCGTGTCAAAGCTAGCAAATGTGACTGCAAACAAGTTCACCAGCGGGACGCTAGCGATACTCAGTAACCTGGTTCCAGGTAAGTCGACTGTCGTTTTTCGAAATAGCTGGACAGAGGAAGCTCCCGACCCAACACTTGATATGCCGAACGAGAAAACCCAAATAGTGAGTCTTCTTCCTCCTTTATGAGCACCAACAACCATACTGTAATCCTTCGTGGGGTTGCTCGTCGATGGTTGCGTGAAGAATGACGAACTGTTTGACCACTCGCTCTTAACAGATTCGGGAACTCCCACGGAAATCAACTCATCCAGCTCTTCGAAATCGTTACTTTCATCCATATAGCATGCTGTAAGTGTCAGCTCATCATGCGCCGCAATCGAAAACGAGGACTTAACTCGATGCTCCAAGGGCACCGAGGATGAGCTTTCAATAACCTTTGACTCGACACCAGGAGTCACCATTGCAGCGTGCAGCTTCCCACCGATAAGCAGATACAGTGCTCCCCGCTCTTCGAACAAAGCTGTGTGTGTGACGGGGCCAACAGCGTCGGCGATTCTCGAGCGAAAAGCGACGTCGAGCCTCCGCAACGACCCGCTTGCCAGAAAGACGTTAAGTCGTCCGCCCATGTTTGTCATAGCAATCTTCACGGCCAACTCGCCTGAGGAACACCTTGATGTCATGTTTGCAACCGAAAGAGATGCAGGTTGGACATCTCCTTCCTTTATAGCACTCATCATGCTACGGCATACAGCGCAGACTTCACAGTTCTGAACTGAATAGGAGATAGAGCCCCTGCGGGTTCTCCCAGAAGTGCTTTTGACTTCAAGCTTTAGTCTCGCATAATGCAGACAGCTTTCAGCTTTCTTCTGCTGAAACAATACCTCCACAAAGAATCCTGCTGAGCCACTGGCTTGATCTGTAGTAATAGCATACGTCAGCTACCATACTAGACGCAGAAAGTAATCAATAGATACCTTGGTAATCAGACGAGCTGACACTGTACACATGTGCGTCAACAAGATGTTCGCGAAGTCCATTATAACTGAGAAGAAGCGACAACTTAGGAGATGAACCCTGCTCTCATATCCAGCAGCCACAACGAGTTAGTCACCTTTTTAACCCACTCCCATTGCAGCGTCATCAAGTATCAAACGCACCGTGAAGGGAGCTGCCTCTTCACGATAGAGGCACAAGTCGCCATTATCAAGCACCCCGTAGAGTAAATTCACCACAAACGATTTCTCCAACGCTACGTTTCCACAAATAATAGCTTCTCCCACAGAAGTATCTGCCAGCGCACCGCTCCGATCGCCTAATAGCTTAGTATTCATTTGAGTAATACTATCCATGCGCTGACTAACCAATTCATTCCGACGTGCTTCGTTTAGCGACCCATAGCCGTAGTGGAATAGACATAGTGCGTCCGTCACTGTGCTTTCGCTCAATAACGCTTCATTTATCGACGACACGGTCTTGGATGATTCTCGCGACCAATAGTGATTCACCAAGCCGAATACTCGGATACGACTCTCTAAACTGTCATCCTCATCAAGCGACGACACGCAGAAATCCGCAGCAGAAAAGTGCTTCCACAACACAAAGGAACGGTGTGGAGCAACATTTTTCCTCCAAATAGAAATGTTACCTGCTCGATCAAGTGTGAACAACATCTCACAAGCTCCTGTCGTCGCAGCTACAGTTGATCGCGCGTTGTAAACATTTACGTCCTTCGACCACGTCATTGACACTAGAGCTCGGGTATGTGCAAGAAACATCGACATCGGAGCGCCCTCGTGCGGCGATAGCTCCCCCAGATCCCACACCTTCACGATTCTGTCATGTTTACCGGCCGTAGCGGCGAATCTCCCACTTGGAGCCACATCAAAGTGACAAACCGGTTCAACTGATAGGATCAGGTCCACGCCAGGTCCTCCACCTCCTGATAATGTGACTGTGCGTTGCAAATAAACCTGTACCGAGTCATCCACGAGCTTCCAAATGGACAACTTTTCTCCAGCTCCAATTAAAAAAAGGTCGTCTCCACTTTCCACCCATTCCAAGTGGTTTAATAGGCGGTCGTCACATTTCCAGCGCACAGATTCGGCCCATCGAGGCAGATGAAGATATAAATGAGCCTTCACGTAGTCGGATCTCGGGATCATATCACTACCTGAAGCTAAAGAGGCCAACCTTGGTCCTGTGCGGTCATCCAGTGTCGAAGCTCTGGAGACCTCCGCCATAGCCGCTGCCCTGCTAGATGTGGCGCTAGCGGGCATTAGTAGAACACCACGGCCCTCATCGATACACAATGCCAGCGCACCACGTGCTGCTTTTTTGCTAGAGTTGAAGCGCACGCATCGGACAGCGTCTTGTGCGTTCCAGACCTGCCACAGTTCGAATTTGGACTTAAGTTTGCTCTTGTCGGCGGGTAAGTCGGGAGGCGTCTCCGCTAGAATTACCAACTGCGAGTCGGAGGCGTAGACGAGGTATCGGCTTGACTCGAACACGGCCTGGCAGACGAGCAGATCTGCCTGTGCGTTAGGAGAGGGCGCACACACAGCGGCAATTGACTCCTCAACACGAAACACCATCGATCGCGTTGTTTTCAGCTTGCCGCTTCAAACAATCTTTCAAAGTAATATTGCCAACAAATGTAGAAATTTTGAAAAGCCAATAAGCAAATGGATAAAAAACTCAAAATAATTATTTACCATGAAAATTACGATATATTAGTTGCATCAAAATAATTTTGCTTTCTTTTGATATTTTGAATTTAAAAAAGAAAATGATCGTCTAATTTAATTATTCTCATTGGGTAAGTAAAATAAAAAATCACTTTTTAAGCAACAAATACTGTCGATGACGTCTCGTAAGAGAAGTAGTGTCAAGCGCATGCCTGCTTCACAGGAAGCCTTGGATGCCTTCGTAACGGCCCAGTTTCTGGACAATGGTATGGACGTGATTGCGAACAAGATCAACGTGCTGCGTGAGAAGTTGCTGCGGTCTGGGAGTAGCGAGGGTGATGCTGAGACTAAGAAAAAGTGGGCCCGTCAGCTCCAACACTGGCTCGCATTGGCTTGCCGTCTACTGGCCAAACAGCGACGGCAACTGAACCACTGTATCGAGCGTGTAGAGAGAAACTATAGTCGTGGGGAGATCGGCATTGGATCCGTCAAGCAGAAGGAGGCAGAGGCAAAGGAAGACGCAAACCTCTACAGTCGCACGTATGCCCGTCCTCGAGCTGGGAGCTCATCGACCGCCGCCGCAGCCCCGGAGAGCGATAGCTACAAGGGTAATATGGTCCCGAGCAAGGAGGACATTCTAGCTGTAGGCTGCCACGTCGCAGCTAAAGTTGCACGCAGCCACGAATTGTGGATCATGGCTCGGGTGGTGAAATTTAATGCTGACACTAACACTTACGAGGTGGAGGACGTCGACGCTGGCGACGACGACGAAGATGATGTCGATGCTCCGAGAAGACACTACATCGTGCCATGGCAGCAAGTTGTCGAGCTACCTGGCGACTCGTTGCCGGAAGGAGAGTGGATTCAGTACGCTGTGAACGAGCGCGTGATGGCCATGTACCCCAACACAACAAGCTTTTTTCGCAGCACCATCCGCGTGCCGAACCCGAAGGTACACTCGTTTTGTTGAGGGTTTATCATCAGAGACTAACTGCAGAGTTTCTGCTCTTATGATAATTGCTAAATGCAGGGCGCTCCTTACGTAATTCTCAAGTTCGATGAGGATGAAGACGAGCACGGCTTCGTGCCGGACCGAAAAGTTCCGTTCCGCTTCGTGGCTCCGCTCAAACCGTGGCATCAAAAGTGAGTAACTACAGTACAATCCAACGTCACAATTTCGCTGATCGAGGGTGACATTTGCCTTTGTAATTCGAAATACCCTTGCTTCATGATCTGAATCCTGACGTGAGGCACTCTGACTTGTTCCACCGTCACTGATCAATGCTGCAGGTTTAACAACCCGCCGTCGCCTTAACACGCCGACTCGACCTCCTCGTAACACAACTCGAATTGCCATGCAGTCCCACATGACACGGAAGCATAACCATTATCATTATCTTCACTAATCCATCCGGCTCCAAGTCTATTAATTTACACTGAACCTACCTCCAATCGTATCACTACTGCACCTGATTTGAGTTTCTTTCGAAAAGGGTGATGTTGAAAAACATCAGAGGGTTAAATGCAGATTGCGGCATGCCACTAACTGCAGAAATATTGCATCATCTGGATGAAGCGAGTAGTTCACGTAAAACGCACTAGCAGCTAGACAGCCACCGACACGCATACGATCACAGTACATTAGTCCTGCTCAGCGAGACATGGCGCTTAGTAGTCCTGCGAGGCCGACGACTTGCCCTTCTTGCCAGCCGAAGCCGACTTCTTGGGCAGAAGCACGGAGTGAATGTTGGGCATCACACCACCCGAGGCGATGGTCACGTCGCCCAGAAGCTTGTTCAGCTCCTCATCGTTGCGGACGGCCATCTGAATGTGGCGGGGGATGATACGCGTCTTCTTGTGGTCGCGAGCGGCGTTGCCGGCAAGCTCGAGAATTTCAGCGCAAAGGTACTCAAGAACAGCGGCCATGTAGACCGGAGCGCCACCTCCGACGCGCTGAGCGTAGCGTCCCTTCTTCAGGTAACGGGCAACACGACCCACGGGGAACTGCAGACCGGCCTTAGACGAACGGGTGCTTCCCTTTCCCTTCTTACCACGGCCTCCAGTAGCGGCTTTTCCCTTTCCAGACATATTGATTAGCTTGAGCTTCTTGGCGACTTGAGTAAGTGCTTGTGAATTTCGATATGCATCAGAGTGGCGATCGAGGATTGCAATACGGTGTATCTGAGACCGGGAGAGAAGACGCGTCTGTTTTGCGACGGCCGAGCTCATCTGTGAAGGCGGGGCGAAACAACTTAGTACCCTAGCCTGAATAAGCAATTGCGAGGTCACAGGCGAAATCTAAACTTCTTCGTATTGGCTAATAAACATTTTCTTTGATATTATTGACGGAGAAATATTTTAGCGAGTCGTGATTGGCGGAATGATAAGGGGCGGGAAGACGAGCAAGTTTGACTTTCTCGCAGCGCGGGTCAAAAAAGGTCGGAGCGCGCCAAGAACAAAAAGCCGAACTAACATCGGATCATTTTCGAATTTGCTTCAAAGTCGACCACCAACCACCACCACCACCTCAAGAACCATGTCTGGAAAGGGAAAAGCCGCTACTGGAGGCCGTGGCAAGAAGACCGGCAAGAGCTCGACGCGTTCGGCCAAGGCAGGCCTGCAATTCCCCGTCGGTCGTGTCGCTCGTTACCTTCGCAAGGGCCGTTACGCCCAGCGTACGGGCAGCGGTGCCCCGGTCTACATGGCCGCCGTCCTTGAGTACCTCTGCGCTGAAATTCTCGAGCTTGCCGGCAACGCCGCTCGCGACCACAAGAAGACGCGTATCATCCCCCGCCACATTCAGATGGCCGTCCGCAACGATGAGGAGCTAAACAAGCTTCTGGGCGACGTGACCATCGCCTCGGGTGGTGTGATGCCCAACATTCACTCCGTGCTTCTGCCCAAGAAGTCGGCTTCGGCTGGCAAGAAGGGCAAGTCGTCGGCCTCGCAGGACTACTAAGTGCATTCGCGTTTAGTGTTTTCTGGTCTATGATCTTATTGAGCGCGATCTCGGTCGCCTCTAACATGCTGAGTTAGCTTGCTGCTTGGCCTCAATCCCCTGATGTTTTTCAACATCACCCTTTTCATGAGAAATTCTCATTAGTTAGCTGACTGTAGGAAGTAAATATTTCGAAGTACTACTAGTACTACAGTAGTAGTAGTACAGGAAGGAATAACGTTTGTCTTGGCTGTTAAAATGGCGCGATTCCATGAAGTAGTGTCAAGTGTTTCGTGAATTTCTGCGTTAAGTGTCGTTTTTCTTGACCAGATCTCCTTGAACATTTACTGCGTAGTACTACAGTACTGTGCTGGACACTCCTTGTGAATGACGTCGTTAGATTTGTTTCTAAATGTACCAATATGAACATCAACACGTAAATGTCTGATGAACAATCCCTATAATTAATCATTGACGCGAAAGCCTCTTCCTGGTACCGACCACTCGGCTCGCACCATGTTTCGAAGGGTGTCGCTAAACTGAAACATGAAGATGAACTGCTTGTCGCGCTCGCCGTTGGACGTTCGAATCTTCTGCTCCAAGTCGGCGATCAAGGCGCCTAGACGTGCCACGTTTTGCATCTGCGCGGGGTTGCCGCTTGACACAGCCTCATCAATTCCTTCGCGCAGTTTCTGCGCTTCACACTCGAACTCGCGGACTTCGGCTGCCAGCTCTGCGCACTTCTTGTGAGACGATGTCAACACCGCCGGAACATCGCTCCAGATGTTCGCGTGTTCGCTTTGCTGTGCAAACGAGCGCACCGCCTCCGAGAAGATGAGCACACGAACCACCGATTCGAATCTCTTCTTAAGTGCCGCGTCTCGTTGAGCACGGAGGTTGTTGATCTGTATCTTCAGTTGTTCCGGGATCGTAATATTGTTCGACCTGTGCACAAATTCGTGGCCTTCTTCCGTCCGCCTGGTGATCTCCACGTCCAGTTGCATCACCAACGCATTGACATTGTCATAGTCGCTCACCCAAATTGCACGTAGCTCGTCGTCTTCGCCAGATTTGCTGGGGTTTTGGCGAACCCTGGTGCTCATCGGTGTTGTTGGGCTAAAGCGTCCCTCTCCTGCCCCGGCCGTCATACGATGCGGGACCATTGCGTCCGAGAAATCTGGTTGCTGCTGCTGTTGCTGCTGACCATTGGGGTTCCTAACGACGAGGTGGTGGTTCCCATCAGGGGCTTGTGAAACGGTCTCGAACCTCGACATCAACACTGCTGGATGCCCGTGATAAACTTGGGAGCCGTGCTCGTTGGTCATAGAAGAATACCCACTTGACACAGGAGCAGGTTGAAACGGAAAAGCCTGAGAAGTGGGAGATGGAGTTGTCGGTTGGAAGCGCAGGGTGTGAGGAGAAACGCTAACTGGAGAGGGAATGCGCGTAAACCGAGCATTGGGCATCGGCGGGACTGGTGCAGCAACACTCGATGGAGCCACGGAGCCAACGGCAAACCCTGGCTGAGTATTTAGAGCATGCTGAGCTTGACAAACAATTCGATTGCCATCTTGCATCAGTGAATGGGCTTCAGCTTGCCGACGCGCTTCCTGCTCCCTCATAATTTGTTCTTGCCTTGTCCGTTCTTCCATTAAACACCGATGTCGCTCCTGTTCTTGAATAAGCGCCTGTTGTCGCACCTCCTCGTGTCGGCATTGTTCAGCTTGTAGACGTTGCACTTCTTGTTGTTTCTGTAATTCTTGGCGCTGTCGTTCTTCTTGTTGTCGTCGCTTTGCTGCTTGCTCCTGTTCGTGCTGCTGCCTTTTCTTCAATTGCTCAATCCGTGCCTGTTCCTGCTGACGATACAGTTCTTGCTGTTGCAATTTATGATTAGCTTCTCGCTTTGCTCGCTCCTCCTGCTCGCGTTTTTGATGCGTGCGTTCATCCGTTCGTTGTGACAGGATGTGGTTCAAATTCGCCTTCGGAGATCGAGCTTGAGGGACATTGAATTGCGCTGCTTTCACCCGCATGTCGTGCATTGCCCTTACACGGTCGTACAGACTCATACCGTCCGTTGGTACTGATGGTTTTCCATCGGAACGTAAAGACTCACTGGCGCGAATCACTTTATTGTTCCGCCCGTCGTCAACTCCTGGTAACTGTCGCTTGCGAGACTGGTCCTGGGCTCCAGTTGTAGGCGGCACAGTTGCTGTAGACACTGAAGACGCTCCAGCAACTTCATTATCAGTAGTGGGTGTCATAGGAGCGGTAGCAGTAGATGACGCGCCATTTGAAGACACCGGTTGGTCTACAGCTCCATTAACGACTGCACTTGGTTGCTGATCAGTCGACTTGGTCTTCGCTTCGTCAGCCTGCATCTTGTTATGGAGACGTAGTCGATACACTGTCCGCACCTTCTCTGTGAACTCATCAGACCACGCAGCTTCTACGAAATGTTTCCCACTGGCACTGTCAATAGGGAAGCAGTGGTGAGGCTTGCTGCTTCCTAGTATTAAAACGTGCGGCTTCTTGTGGCAGTTAGCACAGAAGTAGGTGTCACACTCCGCGCACCACATGACTGGTTCGTTCTTCTGACTGCAGCGCATGCATTTACCTGCAGAATTACAGTCCAGTTAAAAGCTACGTACACGATTCAGTCTAGAAATGTTAGTAACTCACGTACGCAGCGTCTTGTGAGAGTAATGACAGTTGATGCATGTGCTGTTGTCCCCGCGGAGTCTCGCTTGACACTTGGGACAGCGGTTCGAGCTGATGCCGTACACTAAACATGTCAAATTAGTCAGGGTGCACTGCATTTAATCATAATCCCGCATTTATAGCAGGATATACTCTGCAAAGACAATGCCCACTACGCACTGTAAAGCCTTCGCTCGCTGTCGCGCCCGCATTTCGTCACCGCGTCCGTCAACATGCCGCTACAGGCATTAGCGCCGCTCTCCGCGCGCGGCTCAATCGCCTCCACCATAATTCGCGCCAAAAAACGAGATCTAACGACTGGACAGTATTTCGTAATATTTTCCAATCAGAATCCGTGAAAGTACTACATTCATTCACAAAAGTCTTAGCACTAGCCACAGAAGTCTCAGCCGACATCATCGGATCACCGACGTTCTTCCTGGTACGTTAGCGTCATTGATTGGATCGTTGCGAACGGAATCGACATGACGATATGGTTTCTGTTATCGATGCGCAGTTAATTCGCGCGAAAGATGAGCGAAGGTCACTTGTACTTGAGCGCGCGAGGTGGCGTTGCCTACGAGGCCGACAGTCGTCATTCCTGGTACGACGCAACACACCAGAGTGTATTACTTCTATCCAACCAGTCGCTGAAGTTGCAGCAACTCCCTTTGGATGCATCGTTGGATTCCACGTCTGCAGCGAGTGCAAGCTTCTCCCCACCAACAGATCTGAGGACGCTCTACGACTTCAATGAGCCAGAAACCAGCGGCGATCAACATGACGCCGTCCAGCAGCGCAATCAAACTCCTATAATATTGCTGCAGCTGTCGGTAGATTGCCAGTTCCTCGCCATCCAGCGCAGCGACATTGAGGTGCAGGTTCTACATCGCGCCACACGCTCGTCGTATTGGGTCCTGTGCAAGTCCAAGGCCGGGAATAGGATCCTACATGGAGGCGTGATCTGGAACACACACTCGGTGAAGGCTACGAGCTCCCAGGACCTGTTCCTAGTCACAAAGCTGGGGCTAGAGCACCATCGTGTCAGCTCGAAGCGGCGTAGCTGTGCCCTGCACAGAACGGTAGGGCTGTATGTCCATGAATTTTGGTACGCAGCGTCACACGGAGTATTACTGGTCAGTTCTGGGTCGAGAGCCAATGAGGTCGTGCCGTTCTTGCTGCATGGAACGAATGCGGAGAAACTACCCGAACTCGTGTTTTCCACGTCAGTGAGCAAGCAAGATCTACGTCTTGTCACGTTGTATGGAGATCTGTACGTGGTGTATAGTGACATGCGATCATCAAAATTGCTGCTGTATATGGTGGGACGCACAAAGGTGGCGTGTGTGCGCTCGTTGAACATCATGTTGCCACCAGGGGCAAAGCTAGAGTACTCGGTCGTGGACAATCTACTCGTGTGTCACAGTATGGAGTTCAACGTCAGTTTGTTCTTTGATATCAAGTGTGACGGAAATATTAGCGATCCATTTTCAGCCCCATTGCCAATCTCATCGCGGCCACCAGGGCGTAAGCACGAGGGCACCGTGCCAAGCTTTACCCGTTGGCGCTTTCACGCCCCCAACCTCGTACAACGATCACATTCAGTTAACGGGTGCGAACAAGTGGAAATTCGAAAGCTGCAACTGAATCTGAACGAGATCTGCAAGACCTGTGAGCACCATCGAGAGATTTTACCGTTTCTATTGCGTCGAGGGGATCATGAATCAGCGAAGTTATTGGTATTAAAGCTAGTGCGAGGCTACATTGTGGAACACCAAGCATCTCTTCCTTCGATCGTGCAGCTGTTGAATACTGTCCAAACTGTGAGCGGCAGCGAGCGACGTAACAGTGTACGGTGCTTTTGCATATGCTCCATCTCAGAAGTGGCAGCGTTACTTATCCTTGTTCCAGGACGCTAGGAGGAGGAGCAACAGTGCGGAGTCTGCTTTGAGTGATGAAACTAGTTCAGGTCAAGAGGCTGCCGAAAACTCTTTAGGGCTGAAAATGAAGCATCCTCGCAACGCTAGAGGCTTCCTTCTCATACGACAGGCAGAGTTTTATCGCCACATATGGAGCGATATACTTCAAGACCCAAAGGTACAAGTGAGTCTGCTGTGTTAGGTACAGTATTATCGAGCCTTACCTTGCTATTCAGGCTCTGCGTCGATGTGACATGAGCGTTTATATTGTCGAGTATATCAAGAATTTGCGCGAAAACAAGGTGCCAGTGGAAAATAATACGTGAGTATCGGAAAGATCAGAACGTTCAACACTGCGTGAACTTGTCTAACAGGTATGTTATCAGATATGTTGCGCTTGCAGAGTGTTTTATAGCTACAGGAGAGCCGAACAAACTCTACCAGTTCTTGCATTACCATGTGCTCGCTGATTCCGTAGAGCTTGCCGACTTAATGGTCCGGAACGGAGAAACCTATCCAGCTTTGATGCAAGTGGGCTTGGAGATGTACTTTCGCTTGAGGGAGATTTGTCCTTTAGTCCGCACGCTTTTGGATCTTGGACAGGTAAGCGCACTGACGATAAATTCGCTTTACGTTTCGTGGTTTTAGCTTACCCCATTTAATGTGTGCGTTGGTCAGACAGAGCGAGCAATCGAGATCGCTTGGAGAAATATGGGTTTAGCCTCTTGCGATGCATCGGTTCTTCCAGGAGTTGCATTTTTTGACTCCTTGGTTCGCTCAGGTACGCGTTGAGTACAAAACAAATATGCTACGTGTAGTACCGATCTAATTCTACTATGTGTACAATAGTTACCTTACCTGGGCAGATCCGTTCACCGCTGCAGGTGACGCAGATGCTGGGGAGTTTATTACTTTTCTTGAAAGTGTGGGACCCAGCAGCACTCCAGTGCTCAACCCCACTATCCCTCTCAACTCTTGCTAGCTGCGCTACCGTACCATTTCCAGACGATCTGATTCCGCCAAAGTCCCGCAGAGCGCTGCGAGTCGCTTTTGGATTTACTGCAGAATGATGCGAAATGGCCACCTCGGGTTCATTCCGGACGCACTACGTGGCTGGTCGCTGAATGACTCGGATCCGTGGGGGTCCTCCAGATGTTACTGGTCGGCGGCGGGCTTTGTGACAGCTAGATGGCCGACTTGGATTAAGCGGAGCTGTAGCTTTTGGTTCGATTGGAGCCCATACTCCGGTCATTGGACGTTTCTCGTGGCATGGACCTTCCTCGGTCTCCACCTGTGGTAGTTGATTATGAAGCTGGTACATCACGAGAGCTCTTGATGTTTGGAGAAGTCTCGAGATCACCGATGTAGTCGTGATCTTGCAGTTTTTTGTGGGTGATGTCACTGCCAGCAAGTTACCACGCCGCTGGTATCGTGGAGTGCATGCCATTCCGGGTGATCGAGCGCCATCATCTTTTGTTGCTTTAAACAACGTGGTTAGCACACCGTTTGCCCGAGCAGCACCGTGCTTACTTGCGCTGCGGACATGCATGGCCAATGCAATACGCTGTACACACCGAAGAAACTCTCGAAAACTCAGATCTGCCGCTTCCCGGCGGGCTGAATCGGTGATACTGATGTCCAGCTTAGCGGCGTAGTACTCCCGGACGAGATCAACAAGGCTCAGTGGGGCAATGCAGGCGTTTTTAGACATTTCTCCTGAGGAATACGGGTCACCATCGCGGTCAGGTGGAGAACGGATAATATCTGTCGAAAATATGATACGTCAGTAGATATGGACCATGGCGGACAATAGCTGGCTTACTCACTGAATGCCCTTGCAAACGTAAGGAACTCCTTCATGTCAAGGCGAACTTTGCTGTCTACCTGCAGCAAAACTCACAAAAAACACTCAGTGAACGAGTTAGAAAGTAATTGCCAGCAGCAATTCGGACCTCGGCGAGGCTTTGGATTCCAAAATGCGAGAATATTTGCTTGAACTGCCAAATATGCTCCTTGAGAAGCTTTATGACGTGAGTTTGTGAGATATCTGGGGCTAGCTGCTGCACTCGAATGGTCTTCGCCCGTGGAAGAATGTGAACTTCTACGAGATTTTGTACATCAGCGTCTGTCAGGGGTCCCTGGAAGCCAAAACAAGCGTTAGCTTCAAGCATGGTGACCAATCAAGCATCTCCCCAATCGCACATTTACTTGCAACTGCTGAGAACGCCTGAAAATGAGGATGCAAGCGGATAGAAATTGCGCGAAATCCATGGCTTTTCCTGTACCGGTAACCGCAGCGAAAATATTGGCGATGTCTACGTCCTTTAGAGCTGGCGTCGGAAGCAAATCCAACTTGCAATCCTTAACGAAGTTGATGAAATTGGTCCGCGTCACCCAGACGAGATTCGTGACGTTCCCGTTCATCGCATAGTACGCGAATTGCTTCCGAAGCATTGGGTTCATCAGCAAAGTTTCAAGTATCCCCTCCGATATTTCGGGCACTGGGGACGGGTGAGCGCGCTTTATGATGTTAAATGACGACAGGTTACTGGCATTGCAATGGCAATTGGATGTGCTGCGGAGAGTTTTAGAGAACTCGTGGTCGAGTGATAAATCCATCATTTTCCGAAATTCAGCAGTTGTCTGTGGAGAAATACGAGGAGTATTGGTACGAAAAGCAAGTCACAAGATGCGTACAGGAGGCATATTTCCTTACCTTGAGGTTTTCCGGTGGTGCGAGGAGCATTGAGTTTAAAATGTTGACCCTCTTTCCTTCTCGTTCCAGATTGTAGCGAAAGAGGGTGGCGTCGCGAAGGTTACAATGCGCTATGAAGTTATTCAGACACTCGTACACGTGCTGCTCGTTTTCATACGTGGCCATGAGCTTCTCGCATGCCTCACCAAGTGCATTTTTGTTATCGGTGATGAGTTCCTTCTTCATACGTCGGATCTCGTGTGTGAGCACCTCGATCTCAATTCGAAGCGCCTCCATTTTTTGGTCAGGGACGGATGAAGGTTGACGTAGTCGCTGGATCTGTTGCTCCTGCTGTTCCCGTTGCAGATCAATCACGCGAAGAGTCTTTGTAGCGATCCCTTGCTCCATCTTTCGATTCACGTCGTGGATCGTTGCCAAGAAATGCTCAAAGGTGATTTCGCCTTCGCGGTGGTAGTAGTATTGTCTACTTTTTACGTCAACTTTAGTAGCTTCGACTGCCTGTGTGATGATTTGCTTGAGCATACCGACACCATGTATTCCAGTCTGTTCAATACGGTGCAGAACGTCATGTGCAAGCAGAATACCATCAGCATCGGTGTCAAGGATTGAGAAAATGCGCTGTAGCTCCATCTGCGTGCTCTCTTCAAGTAGCATGCGGTAGTAAGCACGAGTCTGCAGGTATTCCTTCCACGAGAGGCGACCGTCGCCGTTAATATCGTACTTGTTGAACACAACTTGGATTTCCCACTCCGACAACGATGGGTAGTCTTCTCGGAAGAGTTTGCAAGCACGAGCGGCTGGCAGTCGTGCAAGTGGAGCACGTACTTTCGTGTTGTCGGCGGCTGTATTGCAATTACCAAACTTGTGCTTTAGCAGTCGGATTTCTTCGGGGCTGAGGATACTCTCGGGCGAAATCGTCGACACATCCAAGTTTTCCAGCGCAGAGGCGGGGTTGGCCGATGGTGGGAGCTGCTGGAGGTCTTCCATTTATGAGGACTTGACGTGAATTTGTAAAGCCATCGCTCTATTTTCAGCGTTATTGAACACCAACCGATCGGGTTCTCAAGCACTATTGCTAGCAACGACCACGAAAACCGTAGCACGTATCCAATGTGGTAATAACACAGCATGTCACGTTATCGTTCAAGGGAGAATGCCATCATCGACACGTTATGTTAATGAATGGTAAGGTATATCTATTGAAGTGGTTGTTGACCTTCAGCTTCAGGGGTCTAGAGCATTGGCTGCTCCTGTGGGATGTCTCCTGTCCAGAACTGGACGATAGCTTCCATTGCCAAGCCATTATAGGACCCTGCGCAGAGTCCGATGATAGAGCTTAGTCCACCCACCATTCCGGCGACTTCTTTTTGGTACTCGGAGCAAATACTCGGCGCAATGATAATACTTGATGTGGCCACGTATCCCGTAGTTAAGCCCAGCAAGAGCACCGCAACGATGATAGTTATGTCTTCGAAGGGGTGAACAAGCGCCGCCATGAACAGCGGGAGGAACGAGAGCTGGAACGGCCATGGCAGGTGAAGTGTCGACACGTCAAAGTACATCGCGTACATGGGCAGGTTCTTCCCTACCAGGTCGCCGAGATTGTAGCATCCAACCAGCACAATGGGGAACCAGTCGCCCAGGCCCAGCGTTACTGATGGGATGGCCGAGATGATACCGGGGAAGCATGACAAGCACACAAAGTAGGAGAAAAACAGCGAAAAGAAGGGCTTTAGCGCAGTGTGAAGCACATTCATAACAGTCGCAGCGGCGGCATGCTCCTCCAGCTCTTCCTCGATCTCAAATGCATCTTCTTCATCATCGGCGTCATCTTCCGGATTGTTTAGCGTGCCTCCATTGCGCACGCCCATGCTATTCGCTAACAATGGGCTGCGTTCGTTCACCCCATCGCGGGCGAAGAACGCGTTTGATCGTCTCATCGGGCTAACGGGACTTGACAGGGGCGACAGCATCGGAGGCGTCAACGGCGTTTCAAGCTGCACTAGCGCGTACTCGGTCAGCAATGGTTGCGCGAATCTGGTACGCAGCAGAGCCCAGTATAGCACCCACGTCGACATCACAACAATCAGCGCAACGCCGAAAAACACACCCATCGACAGTTTAGCATAGTAATTCTGCTGCTGAAGATCGTGTCTGGCACTGTCTTTGCCTTCTAAATACCATTTCAAGGCGAGTCTCACTGCGAACAGCAGAATGGCACCGAAGCCTTTGCCGCCTTCGATGGCCTGGATGAACATGGGGCCGAACACTCCACCCAGCCCGTACATGGTTGACTGCATAATCGACGATGAGATTGTCGAACCCATGAGCGTCAACAACGTTAGTGGATAGCCGACATCATGAGGTAGGGCAACCACGCTGGCCAGAGGGAAAAGCAGCACGAAGGAGGCGTATGCTGCCAGGGATCCGTGCATCCTGGCGTCTAGAGACAGTTGCCGCCCCGCCATGACCATATATAGGCTGATGACTAGCAGTGTTGACATATTAACAACGGGAAAGACGAAGCCAACACGATCTTCCGGGTATTTCTCGTCGAAGAAGGCGAGACAGAGCGTGATGCAGCTCCACATGGCGATGGATCCAGCCCCACTGAAAAAGAAGGCGCAGTACGTGATCCACAAGCCTGCGCGGTCGTCCAGATTGCCCACAGGCAGCTCTGGCTCCGTGTTCTCCACCATGACGGGCGCCTCTAGATCCAGCGTCAGACTCTTGGGCGGCTTGAGCGCCATCGCTTCAACTCCAGCAGCTGCTTGTCGGCGAATGGCTCACCACCGGTCGTTGAAGAGCTAAAATAAGGTCGAGACGGTGCCTGATTGGCTGTTTTCTGTTTTGACCGTTTCAGCGGTCGTCAGATGGCTACACAAGTTGAAGTGCAAATTGGAGGAGGCAGCTGTGTCTATTGTAATATTGCTGGGTGGAAGGTGCGACGCCTCCGATTTGGAGTGGATGCGTTAGAAGACTACGACAAAGAGAAAAATGACGAGGATCATCACGAGGAAGATTTTGAGGATCAGGGATCGATTGCCCTGCACCATGTTGAAGAGCTTCAACAATTCGCCATGCGCTGCTTCCACGTTGGTTTGCCTGAGCATATTAAAAGAAAGGAACAGTGTGTAAGCAAATTTAACACAGCATAGGTCTTTTCTCGTAGTGTGTAACTACGTACGCAATGTCCATGTCGTCATCGATGCGCGATATGATTTCCCCTTGCTCAGCAACCATTGTCGCCATTCGAGTGTACATGCCAGTGATCTACAGATAGATACATAAGCAGCACATTCAGTCGATACGCAGTGCCATCAGTCGACTCAACTCACGTATCGGCATACCTCCACGATGGTGCTCTCCACCTGCGCTGCATTATTGTACCTTGTTTGAGCGTCTTCACGAGGACGATACTGCTGCTGTTGTACCCCCGCGCCACTTCCCGGAGGTGTTGTTCTCTGCTGCATAAACGGACTAGCTCCAAGGTTGCCACGACGACGAAGCCCTGCTCCAGGAGCTGGCGGACTCAATGCCGGCGCTGCTCCTGTGCCCAAATAGCACAACAAAAGCGTCAGATATCCACCGTACATCGCCAGTCCAATTGTGCTCCACTATTGCTGTATGTACCTGGCTTAGGCGGTGTAGGGGCTGGTGATGTCTGAAATCCACTTGCAGCGGTAGATCGTCCCGGTGGCTGATGCCGCTGCGGCTGCAATGGAGCTCCATTGTTCGTTGGCAGCACCTGGCGTCCATTCACACCTGCCGAACCTGTGCGCGAGAACAGCGGCGCGTTGATGTGTACCATGGGATTGCCTCCTCCATGCGAAAATTTACTGCGCCTAGTGCTGCGTTCGCGAATAGCCGCAGTATGTTGTTGGAGCGCTTGCTGATTGACACACAAAAACACCAATAAGTCTTTAGCCTGTAGAACCTTTTTATCGTTACGTACGTGAAATGCCTTGACACCCTTGGCACAGCGCGATTTGAGCGACTGGCAAACGATAGTGAAGTGCGCCTGGTGGTGCTGCTGATGGCGACCCCGCTGCACATTGACGGTCTGCTGGAACATTTGGATGCTGCGCTCCACGGCGCCTAGCTCCTTTTTTAGTACGTCAGTCAACGTCGCGATCTGCGCGCTGGGGTCGTCACCGATGATGGACTTCTTGCCTACGAGCTCCAGCAGCTCACGCAGACACAGCTCCTGCTGTCGTAGCTGGTCCGAGATCTGCTGCGCAAGACGCGCATCGCGGGATAGCGGACGGTGAGTCTGCGGTTTTGTCTGGCCAGTCTCAAAGAGCACCGTGATGCCCACGAAGTCGCTGGTGCGGTCCATTACGTGTACCTTTCGGGAGATGCAATTTCGTACCTAAGATAGCGAATGATGGTAGGTGCCCTCTGAAGGTGGATCTAGTAACCACGGCTAACAAGAAGTCAAGATCCACCGCGAGGTGCCCCGGATCCCATACTTACGAGTTCGGATCCACGGAGGGAGGATCCCGCATAGAGGGACCTGGATCCAGGGTACAGGGATGATGGACGCAGTGGAACTCGAACTTTCGTGGGACAATGGAGATCACAGACGGTTGCAAGATGATGTTGGATGATTGGAGAGCTTAGAGCCATGACGAGTGTACACTTACAGTGAAGTGGATCCAAGCGACCTGGATCCGGATGAGTGTACCCATAATAGGGTGACCATGATGATTACGTCATGGATCCGGTGGATCTGAAGATAATACAGCTGGGATGATAGGCCAAGGGAAGAAGGGACATGCAGCCGAGCCTAGTAAGGGATTAGCAGATAGAA